AACAGGGGACTGAACGCAGGGTAGGCTTGTTCACTACCACCTATAAATAAACCAGCAGTGTAATAATAAGGACTTCCAAAATTTATGTTTTTATATTTATTTAAGTTCCCTTTTCAAGACATGAGGCAGTTGAAGTAGAGTTTACATGTTTCATAGATATTTATATCCAACCATAATCATTAAGGTTTCGCTGCCTTATTACTACAGACACATTTCATAGTGTCATAAAAAGAAAAATTATTAACAACAAACATCTGGACTATAAAAGCAACAATACAAATATTTAATTACAAGAAATGTATTGTATTTTTTTATGATTGGTTAGTAAATCACATTGATCTCTTACTGTACAAGTTCAAACATTTTGATCAGGTTTCAATATTTTTCAAAAATAAAAATAAAAAAAACTTTCAACAGTCAAGGCAAGTGTTTTATATTTTTTGATCTTGTATGCCTTAAAATGACTCCTAATATTTCCTACAAACTACCCTAAACTTTGAGAACCACTGTGACATGAGCCTGAGTTTTGACTGTAATTAAATGAATGACCCACAGAAGAAAATATTAGACATTCATAGGACCAAAAGACCAAAAGACCAACACTTTGACAGCTTTCACTTACGACCCTGGTTCCAGGAAGATCTGCCCTTGTGGTAGAAACACTGACCATGTTTTACAAGACAGCATGGTGTCTTGACACTCAGTGTTCCTTTCAGACTTTTTCTCCAAAGGGGGTGGGGGGTCTTGAAGCGTTTGGTGTGGCGACCCAAATACTTTCCCGGGGAAGTGGGGCGGACAGTGGTAAAAATTGTATATTTTCTAATCTATTTTCTTTCAGGTAGGGGATGGGGGGGGGGGGGGGGTTGCACACCACCCCCCTATCCCAGAAGGAATGACACCACTGTTACAACTATATAAGAGTATTGATTGCAATGCTAACAACAACATGGAAATATGAATCAGCATATGAATCAGCTTGCACTGTATACGGGAAAAAACTGGGTATGAATACACTCAATAAATCATATGGCACTATTTTCAATTAAAAAAGAAAATAAATTAAAATTGTTTTTTTTTTTTTTAAATTACATCAAAAAGAACATGAACTAACAATTTGCCAACACATAAATTCGATCTGTTCAAGAACACATAGCGTATAATAATGAAACAGGTCAGTTAAAAATATATGGACATAAAAAATTATTTAGGCAGTTTATAAAACATAAACAGGTCTTTTTTTTATGTCTTTAAAACAACAAGTAGCCTCATCAGTGCAGAGAACACCAAAAACTAAGAAATGTAGGGAGTTAAGTACTCAAAAAAAAATTATTTAAAAAAAAAATAACAACATTAGTCGTTGAGCCGCTCATCGATGATAAAATCATAAAATATTTATAAAAATGAATTATTTGATATCAAATCATAGTGGCGCAGGGGAGATAATATCTTTATTCTTTGATTCGAGTATGTGTAAAAATTATCTCCCTTTAGTTTAAGTTAACTCAAGTAAATGAAGCAATTTTCAAATTGTTTTGAAAAGCCACAGCGTCTGTTGTATTGCAAGTTTATTTTGGTCATATTTAAAATATCACTAGTGATTCAAATAGTTCGTGTAGCTGAATTTAAAAAAAACCATATTGCACATAAATCTTTATTAACTAACTCGTCGCTATCGTCTAGGCTTAAACTTGAATCCAGCCGTTTAAAGTTTTAATGTAAATTTAAATGTTAGCGCGGCATTGTTTGTTTCTTTATGAAATATTTTAAGAAAAATTAAATAGCATTACATAACGCTACGCTAAAAAAAAACAGCAACAGAACATGGTTCTAAAAGTTGACCTACACATTATCTGCCATTCTTCATCAACACGGTTCGTTACACAAATATAATAACAATCAAACCATTAAACAAAAACCGCTTTACTTTAACTCTCCAGGTAAGCAACGAACCCCACATGATATAATTAAAATATACAAAATTAAAACATAAGAATAGTATCATGCAAGAGTGTATAGCTTTTTACACCGTATTAGCAATTAATTGCAATGCGAAACATCACGTAGTTGAAACAGATCATTGAAAAAATATAAGAACCTGTAACAGACCACTGTACACATACAACATAGGCCTACTCTATTTTATCTACTACAAAAATAAAAAATAAAAGAGACCAGTATGTATTAAATGTTAAATAATACGCACATACAGAGTTTCTTCCAGGCATCTCTTCGGGGGGGGGGGGGGGGGGGGGGGGGGGGGGGCGGCAAAAAAAAGCCCCCCCCCCCCCGAAAAATTTTTAACGCCCCCCCCCCCCCCCCCCCGAATGAAATGAAATTTATATAATTTATATAGAAAATATATACTTTTAACAGTGTCCGCCCCCCCAAAGAAAGTCTACCCCCCCCCCCCCCCGAAAATTTCAAGTGCCCCCCCCCCCCCCGGAGAAAAAAGTCTGGAAGAAACACTGCGCACATAATTAGAGTTTCATCCAGGCATCTCTTCGGGGGGGGGGGGGGGGACGAGGGGACGACGACGACGATGACACTGTTCAAAGTATATATTTTCTATTTAAATTCAATTTTGTTTGGGGGGGGGGGGGGGCGGTAGACTGTCTTGTTTATAATGTTCAAAGACTTTACGAGTGCTAGATTTTACATTATTTATAGGTTCCCAAAATTTTCTGAAATCATTTTTTTTTTTTAAATTCATGCTTATCAAAACTTAATTTACTTAAAAAAAAACAGTTGTCATAGCCACAAACAGAGAGCCATATCAAAACATGCCCCACACACTTTCTGTAATACTAAATAACCACAGGTGGTTCATGCTAAAAATAGAGATAAATTCATTCCACAGTTCAATGCCATGTATGAATATCAAAATTTGGTTAAGGCGATCTCGTTGGCCAACTCATACAATAAAATAAAATGATAATGATTCTAAAAGGCTAAAATAATTACATGATCTAAAAGATTATAATCCAACAGATTTGAATAAATAGAATGTTTTTAGAATTGTTTTAATTGTACACTTTCTTTTTATCACATTTTTTATGGTGTTAGTTCATTGTTTAATTATAACCGTTATGTTTATGTAATCATGTTCTTTTGTTTTACCTGACCAATAATACGAAAGGTCTATGTACTAAAAATATGTTTTTCTTTTACTATATGCTTATCTTTTTTTTAATTGGCAAGAAATGGGATATGTCTAGATTAAAACATATTTGTATCACCATAGCTAGCCCTAGACGATGGGATAATCCTTCATGAAAACACCAGATAAAAAGATTGCACAAGCAAATTAAAACTATTTTCTTATGGCTATACTTAAAATAAGTGCCCATTCCTTTTGACAATATGGCCTAAAAAAGTAACAAATAAAATATAGGTTCAAAATACTTTCATTATGTCATTATATATGCCCTCAAAAAATGAAGCATTGAAAGGAAATTATAATTAACTAAAGGTCAATAAAGTTTTATGATTGTTAAGTTTTAAAAGTTTAATTTCAAAACATATTAAGTTTTAAAATTATGAATATATTTTATTCCTGTTATATAATAAAAGTTTTTCTGTTTTTTCTTTCAGTATCAGTTAACCTGTTTAATATGTTATTAAAAAAATAGTTTATCACTTTAAAAATTATCAGCAGTTTATCAAATAATCTAATCAACATGACATGATAAAAGGTAAAAGAAAGGTTAGTTTCTAAAATAAAAGGCAGAATCAGTTTTTTAAAAGTAAATTTTTGATGATAAAAACAAAAATGTTTACTTGTATTGTAAACCACTGTTATAATTAAAAAAATCAAAACTTTTAAAATGTTTTTTGCTCCATAATTCAAACGCAGTTTTCTTCTATATTTCATACACTGCATGCAGATCAAAACAATGACAATAAGAAGAGCAATGGTATCTAAAGGAACGGCAGCAAAATTCCAACAGACACGAGTGACTTTGTGCCTCGGATAGTAACCAGTGATGTAAGTTGTGTAAGCAGGAGTTGTTACACCTGTTGTTACAACTGTTGTTGTTTCATCTGTTGTTGTTTCAATTGTTGTTGTCATGTTAGTAGTTGTTACAAATGTTGTTGTGTTATCAGGTATTGTTTCAAATGTTATTACAGGTGTTGTTGTTGGAAGTGTTGTTGTTTCAACTGTTGTTGTTTCAGTTGTTACAAATGTAGTTGGGTAAGCAGGTGTTGTTTCAACTGTTGTTTCAACTGTTGTTGTTTCAGTTGTTACAAATGTAGGTGGGTAAGCAGGTGTTGTTTCAACTGTTGTTTCAATTGTTGTTGTTTCAGTTGTTACAAATGTAGGTGGGTAAGCAGGAGTTGTTGCAACAAGAGTTATAGCCACTGGCAGGAGAGGAATTTTTAATGTTAATAATGACATTAATTAATGTTTAACTACATACTTGAACGTTTATGAATTTATTATGACATACATTTATAATAAAAACATTAGGGCATAAGATACAAAACTAACTTAATCTAGTCTCTAGTCTAGCAGTTCAAAACTTCATTTGGTCTCTAGTCTAGCAGTACAAAACTTCATTTGGTCTCTAGTCTAGCAGTACAAAACTTCATTTGGTCTCTAGTCTAGCAGTACAAAACTTCATTTGGTCTCTAGTCTAGCAGTACAAAACTTCATTTGGTCTCTAGTCTAGCAGTACAAAACTTCATTTGGTCTCTAGTCTAGCAGTACAAAACTTCATTTGGTCTCTAGTCTAGCAGTACAAAACTTAATCTTGTCTCTAGTCTAGCAGTACAAAACTTAATTTGGTCTCTAGTCTAGCAGTACAAAACTTAATTTGGTCTCTAGTCTAGCAGTACAAAACTTAATTTGGTCTCTAGTCTAGCAGTTCGAAGCTTAATATGGTCTCTAGTCTAGCAGTACAAAAATTAATTTGGTCTCTAGTCTAGCAGTACAAAACTTAATGTAAATTTATCATTTATGAAATGAAATTTTATCTGAGAAAAGTTTAGCTTACTTCCCTACTTCCCTTAGCTTACTAGGGTCCTAGCTGGCACAGGTAGGGTGTAGAGCCCTACCCCAGGTGTGACTGTGGAGGTGAAGGCTGCGACCTGACATTCATAGCTGGTCTAAGGTTGGAGGGACCTGGGAATACAAGGTGTTTATGTATTTACCAAGGAATGGCTTATTTATGCATCATTTGAATATGAGAAAATATAGCTTATATTTTATAAATAACTTGATGGCTTTTATTGTATCTATCATTTTAGGGGTCATCCATAAATGACGTCACGCTTTTTTGGACGATTTTTACCTCCCCCCCTCCCCTCCGTCACACGTCGTCACAAAAAGCCAGACCCCACCCCCTAAAATGACGTCACACCTCAACCTACAACCCCCCTCGAAATTGCAGTTGAATTTTTTTTAAACATCGATATTTTTCCAAAATCTTGTCTAAACTATTACAATTTATTAAAACAGTTATCTAAAACGCGAAATAACGTCTAAAATTCGTTTTTTAACATTGCTTTTTTATAATGCAAAAATGTGACGTCCCAACATCTGACCCCCCCCTCCCCCTCATCACACATCGTCACAAAATTACGGACCCCCCTCCCCCCTACGAGTGTGACGTCATTTATGGATGACCCCTTAACAAAGTGAAAACAAGGCTTATACTTCATACATAAATTTTGGCTTTAACTGTATGCATCAATTAAACAGCGGAAAACATGGTTAATACTTTATACATCAATTTATGGGTTTTAGATTAAACATCGATTTAAAAGAGGGGAAACATGAAGTAATGAAATGAACAAAATTTCTCACTGTATAGTAAAGTTGAGATCAGATGAAGGGGAGAGAACCTCTGACCAAACTGTGCTACCCTCTACTCTGTACTGTACTATGTAGGAGGTCACATTGCATGTTGTTAGCTCCCCTGGTATAGGCTACAATGCGGGAAAGTTTGATCACATGTTATTTCTTTCAGCAGTATTTAATGTCACAATTACAACAAGATAAAAACAGAAATATTTAACAGCTTCATCTAACTTGGCTGATATTATAACACAGTAATCAAGGGCAGTGATTTATTTAAAGAAATATGTGCTAAAAAATAAATAACTTAAAAAAAAATTAGAAAATTTATATTTTTAAGCTGTATAATATTTTCAAACGTTATAACATTCTATGGACAAAAACATTTTAAGGTACTGAAAAAAAAGAGGCAATTGGAATTATACAGCCACTTATATTGTTCTGATAAAAAATATGTAAATAGAAAGACACAAGCTATTCACATAAGAAATGTTTAAATAGACAGACAGTTACAAGCTACTGACTAAGCAAATGTCTAAATTATAGACAGACACTTACACAGACTACTGACTTTAGAAATGTGTAAATAGACACTTAAAACTACTGACAAAACAAATGTGTAAACAGACAGACACCAACAAGCTACTGCCTAAAAAAATATGTAAACAGACAGACCAGCTACTAAAAGAAAAAATGTGTAAATAGATTACTACTTACACTCCACGAGAGCTGAAGACTGGTGGAAAAGATGGCTCTAACTTGAAGACGTCCAGGTGGTGCCACAGGGGCTGGAGGATTCAGGTCAAATGTTTATTAATAGATCAAACACAATACTGAGTCAAATGATAATTTTAAAACAGACTCACTTTTGTATAGGGAGCATGGGGCTGAGGTATGGAGCACTCATTTAGACTAGTAACACAAAAAATTAAGTTCAATTCTACTTCGCACCACTAAGTACCTAGCTTTGGTCAGGGAGAGTAAAGGCCAACGTCACAATATCAGATGTGACTGGTACAGTGCTGACCACACAATCCTTACAGAAACCAACGTCACAATATCAGATGTGACTGGTACAGTGCTGACCACACAATCCTTACAGAAACCAACGTCACAATATCAGATGTGACTGGTACAGTGCTGACCACACAATCCTTACAGAAACCAACGTCACAATATCAGATGTGACTGGTACAGTGCTGACCACACAATCCTTACAGAAACCAATGTCACAATATCAGATGTGACTGGTACAGTGCTGACCACACAATCCTTACAGAAACCAACGTCACAATATCAGATGTGACTGGTACAGTGCTGACCACACAATCCTTACAGAAACCAACGTCACAATATCAGATGTGACTGGTACAGTGCTGACCACACAATCCTTACAGAAACCAACGTCACAATATCAGATGTGACTGGTACAGTGCTGACCACACAATCCTTACAGAAACCAACGTCACAATATCAGATGTGACTGGTACAGTGCTGACCACACAATCCTTACAGAAACCAACGTCACAATATCAGATGTGACTGGTACAGTGCTGACCACACAATCCTTACAGAAACCAACGTCACAATATCAGATGTGACTGGTACAGTGCTGACCACACAATCCTTACAGAAACCAACGTCACAATATCAGATGTGACTGGTACAGTGCTGACCACACAATCCTTACAGAAACCAACGTCACAATATCAGATGTGACTGGTACAGTGCTGACCACACAATCCTTACAGAAACCAACGTCACAATATCAGATGTGACTGGTACAGTGCTGACCACACAATCCTTACAGAAACCAACGTCACAATATCAGATGTGACTGGTACAGTGCTGACCACACAATCCTTACAGAAACCAACGTCACAATATCAGATGTGACTGGTACAGTGCTGACCACACAATCCTTACAGAAACCAACGTCACAATATCAGATGTGACTGGTACAGTGCTGACCACACAATCCTTACAGAAACCAACGTCACAATATCAGATGTGACTGGTACAGTGCTGACCACACAATCCTTACAGAAACCAATGTCACAATATCAGGCAAGCAGGTATGTCTGGATGTAGAACTAAATGTCACGTGTCTCCTCAAGTACAGCTAAATGTCTGTTCTGTAACTAATTTGTTAACTTTTTATTTAAATTACAGTTATTTTCATAAGTTCATGACATTTTGTTCAACAACGTTTTGAGTTAAGCCACATGTCGAGAGATTAATGATCTATTGTGGTTTCTTTGATTCAGACATTCAACAAATGCTATACCTGTCCAGAAAATAGGTCAGAACAACTCAGAAATAACCGCAATTCTTTAATGTAGCAGTCAGTGGCCTAAGGTCGAGTGAGGACTAACTCCTGACTCGAGTGGCGCATGACCCATAACTCGAGTGGCGCATGACCCATAACTCAAGTGGCGCATGACCCATATATCTAGTGACGCATAACCCATAACTCGAAAGACCCTTAACCCATGACTAAGGTCATGGCACCAACATTGTATCATTAATGTCGTTACGTGATTGGACGGCCAATAATGTCCGTTAGAGTAGTGACGTAAAGGGAAAAATTATCATTAAAAAAGTTTTTATAAACCCACGTTTTCTGATTGAACTAAAAAGTAGAAAAAAAATGCTATATATCACAATAATGCAAGCGATCACTCTACTATAAGCGATGAAAAACGTGAGGCGCCGAAGTAAAAGTTTTTTTATCGGTCATTGTTAATATAAGATGTAAAATTTATATTACTATTGATTAGATAATACTATTGAGTTTTATTAGGGAGCTTGTAGAGAGTCAACAGTATTAGAAACTGTAAGAAAATCACGGCGCCCCACGTTTTTCATCGCTTATAGTAGAGTGATCGCTTGCATTATTGTGATGTATAGCATTTATTTTCTACTTTTTAGTTCAATCAGAAAACGTGGGTTTTTAAAAACTTATTTAATGATAATTATTTTCTACTTTTTAGTCTTTGTCTGTTTGTTTGCATTCAAATCTTGCTATCGATTTTATCTTCTCGCATTCACTTTTTTTTGGGTAAACGAAGACAACTCGTAAAAAACACGTGCCTTTTCCAATCGACGTTTCTTCTGTGTTGCTGTTTCTTTCACCATTTTGCCCTCGCGTGCAAACCATTCGACCATCAACATTCTACTTCCTGATCAGTCAGATTTGCATAGGTTTGTACACAAACACCGCGTGACCACTACTCAGCCAATCGCGTGCTTGCTCCTTCAGTAAGGCAAAAGAGGGAAAGTAGCGAACCTTGTTTTATCAAATTACAATTACTAGGTTATGTCCATTTTTTGTACAAATATATAGGGGTCAAAAATGATCAATAACATTTTTCCATGGATCAATTTAGTAATAATAATAATTGAATATTGTATTGTCATCAGAAACAAAGCTTCCCTGAAAATTTCAGCGCGCTAGCTAACTAGGAAGTGCCCGAAATTTCGATCGCAAGATTTGATTGGAAAAACAAACAGACGCGAAAGCAAGTTAAAGAAAACGTGGGAAAAAATAATGCACGACAGGGTCCGTTACTGTGGTGATATAGTTATAACAATCATACACGATTCCATCATACGACAACCACTTCACTACACAGATTGATCATTGAAAGAAAGTTATCAAGATTATTTATATTAGAAAGTGGTTGAGGGGTATGGACGTTTGGTCAGAACCGTATCAGGCTTGTGGGTTCGGACAACAAGTGAAATGTAAACAAACTAAAATAAAATGTAATAAACACATAGAAATAAACCACATATTTATATTTGTTCCTGATATGTCTCATATATGTGTAATATTTTAGTATATGTGTATATGCGTGTGCTTCACTTTATTTAAAGCACTGCAAATTAACAATCTACAACAAAATTTAGTATAGCAAGTAGAATGAAAAATTAACACAATTAAAAATAACGACCTGTATGTCAAGCATACAGCAGTACTAAACAACAATCCAACTGTCCGCAGTGATCGCTGTCATCGCTGTCTCACAAACTCCCACAACTGAACGCTTCCCTCCCCCACCCCCCGGGCCAGCCCTCCCCTCCCTCAGGTGTTCGTGTGTTTGTCGCGGACGTGAGTCAGCCGTGAACATGCCGTATTGATTGCTGGCTCACATTCTGGAGTTCTACCTGGAAGCAGGGGCGGATTAAGCTTGGGCGGGGCCCACGATGGAAGTTTTATAAAACGCGAAACGGTTTTACTTTTTAAAATTCAAAAGTGTGATCTCACACTATCTGACCCCCTCCCCCTCATCGCTACAAAATTACGGCCCCTCCCCCCTTTTATGATAGTGATATAATTTATGGACGACACCCATAGACTTGGTGTCTACATACAGCATGTTTCATACTATACTAAGTTTATGTCTGCCTGACTCAGCTTTCGTACGACACTAGACTCATCATAAAGACACACTGACACTAGACTCAACACAAAGACACACTGACACTAGACTCAACACAAAAACACACTGACACTAGACTTAACACAAAAACACACTGACACTAGACTCAACACAAAAACACACTGACACTAGACTCAACACAAAAACACACTGACACTAGACTTAACACAAAAACACACTGACACTAGACTTAACATAAAGAAAAATAGAACAGGTGACAAAAAATCAACAAGGAAGTTACAGGTAGAACGTAAGAGACATACATCAATCGTAGAATTTAGGTGACACAAACACTTGTATTTTATGATAATGGGATAACACATCGAAACATTAGCACCGCTAGCCATAGAGATATAGTATATACTAAAAAAATATACTAAGTATGAAATACCTTATCACTGAGATATTTTAAAACAGATATAAGCCTATTTGAAGAACTATGAAACAACAAACTCGTCCGTTTGTTTTATTCAACCGGCAAACACACGTCTAAATTTAGCAACTTAACCAATACAAATAAAATGTCTTACACAATCTTCTTCCTTGTTGCAACAAGCTGTAACACCATTGACAGCAGTTAAACACCTAGCAGTGCAATTCTTCATTTTTTACTAGCGTCCCCGTCGCGCGTGGCTGAGTCCTACATACCAGATCGCGAGTCACGAAAAATGTTACTAGGGCAGGGGTGGTCAAAGTGCGGCCAGCGGGCCACATGCGGCCCGCCACAGAGTTTTTTGGGGCCCGCCAGACATTCAGAAAACCCCCGCCTTGAACTGAGATTTCCATCATGTCCGCGACCGAAAGTTCGTCTCTTATTATTTTCATAAGGGAGAGGCTATGTCAATGCGCATGCATTGGGAATACGCACTTCTCTGGTTTGTCAGTTTTATTTCAGTTTTGTCTATGCAACAGTAAAATAAAAAAAATTCCAAGTGAAGCCATGAACCTTCCGAAAAAGAGTAAAATTGGTGATGAATTCCGTGTGTTTAATGAAGGATGGACACACACATATTTCTTTGGTTATACAGGAACGTTTTTTTTTATAAAACCATTAAGAATTTTTTTTTTTCTGAAACGAAATGTAATGTTAACTAAAGAATACAATCATTTTAAACCGTGCGGCCCTCCGCTAAAATCCGCTACCACAAAGTGGCCCTCGAGTCAAAACAATTGCCCACCCCTGTCCTAGGGTTTCATCAACACCAGTAGCGGAACTACTACACCTTTCATCCTATCGCCATGAAACTATGAGGAGTTGTTGAGAGTATTCCTGTGAAGGTTTCTGAGAATAAAAATATTTCAAATTCTAAGGGTTGGCGCCCCGGAAAGGCGCGATTCGATTCTTCTCTATATACGGTAAATATAAAAATAAAAGTCGATTCTGGTTTGACACCGTTCATCCGATCGCCATGAAACTTTAAAAAGTTGATTAGAACACTCCAGGGGAGGTTTCTGCATACAAATCTTTTTTTTTATTTTGCAAAGGAGGCGTCCCCACGTTCATCAGAGTGCCATGAAACTTTGGGTAGTAGATGAGAATACTCCCGAGAAAATGTATGCGAAAAAAAAATTAAATTCCTTATGGGTGGTCACACCAGTAGAGTAATAATTGTAAATTTGTGAAATTTTGGCCTAAGCAATTACGCCAAAATTATTACTCTTTATTCGTTTATTTTAAAACATGATTTGTGATACGTTTAATGAGCTATTGTTTTGTTCCAAAAATAAATTTTGTCCGACAGTATGTATGTTTAAACAGTAAAAGAACCTGGGGCAAAATTTAATGTGTTGGGCGTTATATTTATTGTTTTACATTCTAATGAATAGCAAATATCAATTTTAGAATCTGCCGTATATATCTCTCTCAGTAATTAACTTGGCTAAAGAGCATTGTGAAAATGGATTTCTACCACGTATTTCCTTTGTTAATTTGTGAGTATTAAAAAGAATATCAGATTGCAACTTTATATGGTTGAGACAATCCTTTGTTGGGATATTTCTTTTTGTAAAACAATTTGTGCTCTAGCCTAAGAAAAAGTAATAAATACAGAGTAAGATTTGTTTTAGTACAAAATGTTGTTTTTCGTATTTCTAAGTAAGTCACACCCATAAATGGTAAGGAGCTTCTAGCAGATTCAAACGTTGGAAAAATCTTTTGGGTGGCTATAGAACTCATTTTCCTATATATTAAAAATGGTGGTAGAAGTTCAGGGCAAAAGTGCAAAGCTTCAAAAAATTTAAATACAAAAAAAAAGATATTGAAATACAGGTTTATACAAATACCAAAACGTGTATAAGGCATACATATACATACAAATAAATATATGCATATATTTTCGTGTGTGTGTGGGGGGGGGGGGGTGACACCATTAAGTGCCGCACCTTGAGACGCCGCTGAGTTCTCCAACTGTATAGTACTAGAGCTTCTATTCTAGCACCAAACATAATTAACAGCTTGATATTGAATTTCGGTTTTTATTTTAATCAGCTATTTCTCGTATTGATGAGTACAATAGGACCAATCATTTGACAGCTACTTGCATTTTCAATAAAAATTATACAAATATTCAAAAGCTGTAACCATAATTTGCATACAAGTTTTATTTCCGCATGAAGGAAACTGCATAATTTTTTAAAAATGTGTTAACTTATCCATTCATGTGAAAACATATTTCTGATTAATATCATGGTAGATGTTGTTATACAAAGTGTAGAGTAAAAAATAGTTATCAACAGATATGTGACTTCAAATGGAATGAATAGTTCAAACAATAACAATTTTAGTTCAGGTGCTTTGTTGACCTTGGTTTCACAGAAATGGCAGATACAGGTATAGCTAAATGTATTTACAATTCTTTTTGTAATACTTAAGTAATTGAAGTAGCAAAATTATTATGAAATTGATGAAAAAAATGTAACTGATTACAACAATACAGACTATTTTAAAACTTCAGCACTTTTTTTTACATATTAGATCCTGGTCCTCTTTATATACAAACCAATTATTTCCTGTTTAAATATCATTGAAATGTGAAAACCAAGCTGAATTATATTAACCAATTCATTCTATTTTTGTTTATCTAACTATCCAATGTTAAATACAGTTTCAGCATACTATGACCAGATTATGTAAAATAATAATACTTCAATGTTTATTGTATCCACTAGATCAGGGGTTCCCAACCCTGTGCCCACGGGCGCCATGGCGCCCGCTGAACAATTCATATGTGCCCGCCTCTCACAATTCGACAAAATTTTTTTCATCAACATTATTTCAAAATATGATTTATTTTTCTTCATTTTTTAGTTTTAATTTTTTTTTGACTGCCTAGGTTTATTAAATATGTTCGATACTTGTCTAGCGGCGAGCCAGACTGTACTATTTACGCTAGCCTGGAACGGCTAGTGCCATTTGAATCATTTTTCGGTTCGACATATTTATGCGAATCATTGTTTTCAAACATGAACTTAATAAAATCAAGATATAGATCTCAACTCACCGATGAGCAACTTTATGATTGTCTGCTAACAGGATTATCGTCATACGCTCTCAATTATGAAGCTCTGGCCAATGAAATGCAATGCCAAAGATCACATTGACTTTATTATATTTTTTAATTAAATGTTTTCTTTGTATTTAAGTGTTTTGTTTACTTTCTTTACGTTTTCTCTGTGTGTATGCAATTTGAAAAAAATGCCAAATAATTTTATTAATTTGGAACATTTTTTAAAATTATTTATTAATACATTATGACTATAAGAAAATAAGAAAATAAATTATGGGAAATGACAAGTTATGGAAGGAGTTTGTCGATTTAAAATAGGTGGTGCCCGCCACCCTACCGATATTTTAGAATGTGCTCTAGAGTAAAAAAAGGTTGGGAACCCCTGCACTAGATAATGATAAAAATTGGAAATCAAACAAAAATCAATCAGGCAGTATCACACCATGACTAGACCATGGTGCTAAAGTCTGTCTAGCTCTAACATGCCATTACTAAAGTCTGTCTAGCTCTATCATGCCATTACTAAAGTCTGTCTAGCTCTAACATGCCATTACTAAAGTCTGTCTAACTCTATCATGCCATTACTAAAGTCTGTCTAGCTATCCTGCCATTACTAAAGTCTGTCTAGCTATTCTGCCATTACTAAAGTCTGTCCAACTCTATCCTGCCATTACTAAAGTCTGTCCAACTCTATCCTGCCATTACTAAAGTCTGTCCAACTCTATCATGCCATTACTAAAGGTTTTATTGCCATCTGTTTAACACTGGTTTCATACAATCACACAGCCTCACAAGGCATGGGGCGCGGTTCAACACAGCGTGACACCATTTGAGGGTGACACCACACTGGGTGACACCCAACCTAATGACACCACTGATACAACTATAAAAGAGTATTGCAATGCTAACAACAACATGGAAATATGAATCAGCATAAAAAGCTTGCACTGTGTACAGAAAAACTGTGTATGAATACACTCAATAAATCATATGGCACTAATTTCAATTAAAAAATAAAATAAATTAAAATATTTTTAAAAAAAATTACATTTAAAAGAACATAAATTAAAAATTTACCAACACATAAATTTGATCTCTTAAAGAACACATAGCAGTTCCCATAGAAATAGCATGTAATAATGAAACAGGCCAACTATAAATATATATACATTAAAAAATGTGGGCAGTTTAAAAATATAAAAAGGTTTTTTCCTCATGTTTTTAAAACAACATGTAGCCATATCAAGGCAGAGCATCCTAAAACTAAGAACTTAAGGGAGTTAAGTACACAAAAAAAACAACAGAAATTAAATGAGTTTTAAATATATTCTTGTTTTGGTGTGAAATAATACAATTTTATAAAAATGAATTATTTGGTTTCAAATTAGAGTAACGTAGGGGAGAGAATAAATTCTTTACTCTTTGACTCGAGGATGTGGGAAATTATCTCTCCTTAATTGTTAGTTAATTCCAGTCAATTAATCAATTTATTTATTTTGAAAAGCCACAGCCCTTGTTGTATTGCAAATTTATTTTTGTCATATTTAAAATATCACTAGTGATTTAAATAGTTCTTGTGGCTGAATAATAACTTATATTGCACATAAATCATTTGGCAAATAATAAATTAATCACATCAGCTTTCTGGAAGAATTTCTCACTTAGAGGTATCATAAGTTACAAATAATTAGAAAATGACCAAAAAAAAAATATATATATTAAATAAATTAAAATATTAGAGCCGTTGACAAAATATTTTCATAATCTTTAAAAAAACAACAACATGGAGACACAATAAACAAACTAATTTGTTCAGAATCTGGAGTTAGTTTAAAAAGATCTAAAACATCCATCAAAAGGCCTTTTTCATCCATGGTGCCTTTGTGAGTTTATCAAGGATGTGACAAAACACCTTATCATATCACAGTGAATTAAAAACAATAACTTATGTGCAATTGGATCACAAAACAACCCTCCAAGTCCTATCACAGTTCAGTTCTTTCATGAAAAATAACCTCAGCTTCAATGTCCATTTGAGTATCAATGTCTCCCAGTGAAGAAGATGATTCGTTGTTTTTGAGTACAGCTATGGCCACAGCATTTTCTGTGCGCATGCGAGTGCGGCGCTTCAATGTATCTGACTAGTAAGATATAAAACTTTGATTACATTCAGAAATATTAATCCTCAAGTATCAGACTTTTAGGATATTAACATTTGATTACACTGTCAGACTTTAGGATGTAAAACATTTTATTACATTAGGAAATATTTATCATTAAAAAGTCAGTAAAATACAATGTCTATGATGTACATTTTTAATTGCATAAACTTTACATCCAAAGAAGTGCCAATTGAGATCTGAAAGTTCATCATTCATGTGAGTGAGGAAGGTCTTGATGAGTGTCTGTGTGTGTCTTACAGACTTACATTACTGGGGATGTCAGCAGATGTACATTAATGTTGTCAGCAAACTTAAATTAATGACATGTTGTCAGTAAACTTACATTAATGGAGATGTTGTCAGTACTGACAGCTGACAGATGAGGAACTTGCAGCAGAACTGGGTTTTTCTTCTCCCTCATGATGACAGGCAGGAAGGCGGGGTTGTCAATGCCATGGTGGGTGTCTGTAGGGAGAGGTTCAGGGGTGGTTAGAGTGGTCAACAACAGCAGCACAGTGTAGTGATGTTAGACAGGTAAACAATAGCAGCACAAGGTAGTGATGTTAGAGAGGTCAACAACAACAGCACAAAGTAGTGAAGTTAGACAGGTCAACAACAACAGCACAAAGTAGTGATGTTAGACAGGTAAACAACAACAGCACAAAGTAATGAAGTTAGACAGGTAAACAACAACAGCACAAAGTAGTGAAGTTAGACAGGTAAACAACATCACAAAGTAATGAAGTTAGACAGGTAAACAACAACAGCACAAAGTAGTGAAGTTAGAGAGGTCAACAACAACAGCACAAAGTAGTGATGTTAGACAAAGAACAGCAGTACAAAGTAGTGATGTTAGACAAAGAACAGCAGTACAAAGTAGTGATGTTAGACAGACATGGTGGGTGTCTGTAGGGAAGGGGTGGCAAGACAAGTAAACAGGTAGAGATGTTAGCAGGACAATGTAGGGTAATAGCATTTCAAACTAGAGGTATTAGACAGACGAGGGAGAAAATAGTACCAAATAGTGATATTATTCAGACAAGAACAGCAGTACAAAGTAGTGATATTATCCAGACAAGAACAGCAGTACAAAGTTGTGATATTAGACAGACAAGGTAGGATAACAGCAGTTCAAAGTAGTGATAACAGCAAGATAAAGTTATTTTAGCATTTAAAAAGTTAATGAAATAATTTAATCAAAATAAAAGAGCAAATCCTTTAATGCCTTTGTGGAGATAAGTAATTTAAAATAAGAATAAAATCTTTCTTCCAATCTACAGAACTCTGCATCAAACAATAGACAACATCAGGCAACATGACACCCCATTGTGTTGCTCTGATGGGCCAAATATAGGTTATGGAAGCTTCATTAATAAAGTCAAACTTTGGTGATACTAAATACATAGTCAATTGTCTAATAAACATTATATGTAGGTAAATAAAGTAAATTTCCCATTTCAGACCTAACAATCTATAGGGCAGGTAAAGCAATTCTTATGTTTCTTGAACTTGGCATTTGAAGGAATGGTTAGCCGCCTTTACTTTCCCTAAGGTAAGTAAGGTAGCTATCAGAGCTATAAGGATTAAGGGACTCAAATCCGTAACAAGATTCAAACTCAAAACTGTCAGGTTAGCAGTCAAGCATTCTACCATCCAACCACCTAGCCCCATAAATATAGACATACAAGCTGTATGTAAATTGTAAACAAAGATTTAAAAAAAAAACAACTGCTCACCATCTTTAGGTGGTTCAAGCATCTCATCCTCCAGCTTAGTGTAGGCGTGAGAAACAGAAATTTTAGGAATAGAAAGTAGTCCATGGGGACGTAACTTCTGTACAAAATGTTAGATGTTAGACTTTGTTTCATAAGCTACATATGTTAGATGTTAGACTTTGTTTCATAGCTACAAATGTTAGATGTTAGACTTTATTTCATAAGCTACGTGTGTTAGATGTTAGACTTTGTTTCATAACTACAAATGTAAGGTGTTAGACTTTGTTTCATAAGCTACATATGTTAGATGTTAGACTTTGTTTCATAGCTACAAATGTTAGATGTTAGACTTTATTTCATAAGCTACATGTGTTAGATGTTAGACTTTGTTTCATAACTACAAATGTAAGATGTTAGACTTTGTTTCATAGCTACAAATGTTAGATGTTAGACTTTATTTCATAAGCTACATATGTTAGATGTTAGACTTTGTTTCATAACTACAAATGTAAGATGTTAGACTTTGTTTCATAGCTACAAATGTTAGATGTTAGACTTTGTTTCATAACTACAAATGTTAAAAGTTAGACTTTATTTAAACAGCTACCAATGTTAGACTTGACAGATAAAAATATTAGATTTAATAACTAAAAATGTTAGATTTAAAAGCTACAAATGTTAGACTTAATAACTAAAAATATAGATTGACCAATTACAACTGCAAGACAAAATTTCTGTAAGATATTATGATTTCTAATGTGGTGTTAGCTATTAGAAGTAAGAAACGTCTCTAAATACTACTATAACTAACTCACAACTAGACTTAACATATTTATGTAAAATTCAAATGAAATTTGTTCAGATAAATATTTTGTTCCCCAGTGATGTATGTCCATATGTCTCACCGGTCCATGTATGTCACCTGTCCATATGTCTCACCTGTCCATGTATGTCACCTGTTCATATGTATCCCCTGTTCATATGTCTCACCTGTCCATGTACGTCACCTGTTCATACGTCTCAACTGTCCATGTGTCTCACCTGTCCATGTATGTCACCTGTTATGTCTCACCTGTCCATGTATGTCACCTGTCCATATGTCTCACCTGTCCATGTATGTCACCTGTCCATATGTCTCACCTGTCCATGTATGTCACCTGTCCATATGTCTCACCTGTCCATGTATGTCACCTGTCCATATGTCTCACCTGTCCATGTATGTCACCTGTCCATATGTCTCACCTGTCCATGTATGTCACCTGTCCATATGTCTCACCTGTTCATGTATGTCACCTGTCCATGTGTCTCACCTGTCAATGTATGTCACCTGTCTATATGTCTTACCTATCCATGTATGTCACCTGTCTATATGTCTCACCTGTCTATATGTCTCACCTGTCCATGTATGTCACCTGTCCATATGTCTCACCTGTCCATGTATGTCACCTTTCTATATGTCTCACCTGTCTAAATGTCTCACCTGTCCATGTATGTCACCTGTCCATATGTCTCACCTGTCTATATGTCTCACCTGTCCATGTATGTCACCTGTCTATATGTCTCACCTGTCCATGTATGTCACCTGTCCATATGTCTCACCTGTCCATATGTCACCTGTCCATATGTCTCACCTGTCCATGTATGTCACCTGTCTATATGTCTCACCTGTCCATGTATGTCACCTGTCCATATGTCTCACCTGTCCATGTATGTCACCTGTCCATGTATGTCACCTGTCCATATGTCTCACCTGTCCATATGTCTCACCTGTCCATGTATGTCACCTGTCCATACGTCTCACCTGTCCATATGTCTCACCTGTCCATGTATGTCACCTGTCCATATGTCTCACCTGTTCATGTATGTCACCTGTCCATGTATGTCACCTGTCCATATGTCTCACCTGTCCATATGTCTCACCTGTCCATGTATGTCACCTGTCCATACGTCTCACCTGTCCATATGTCTCACCTGTCCATGTATGTCACCTGTCCATATGTCTCACCTGTTCATGTATGTCACCTGTCCATGTATGTCACCTGTCCATGTATGTCACCTGCCATATGTCTCACCTGTCCATGTATGTCACCTTTCTATATGTCTCACCTGTCCATGTATGTCACCTGTCCATATGTCTCACCTGTCCATGTATGTCACCTGTCCATATGTCTCACCTGTCCATGTATGTCACCTGTCCATGTATGTCACCTGTCCATGTATGTCACCTGTCCATATGTCTCACCTGTTCATGTATGTCACCTGTCCATGTATGTCACCTGCCATATGTCTCACCTGTCCATGTATGTCACCTTTCTATATGTCTCACCTGTCCATGTATGTCACCTGTCCATATGTCTCACCTGTCCATGTATGTCACCTGTCCATATGTCTCACCTGTCCATGTATGTCACCTGTCCATGTATGTCACCTGTCCATGTATGTCACCTGTCCATGTCTCACCTGTCCATATGTCTCACCTGTTCATGTTTGCTCCCCTCCAGGTTATTATTGTGCTGGTCATGACTGTCTTGAACACTGACATCAGAAGAACTGCTGTGATTGGTTGTCTGGATGGTGGTGATGGATGGAACGGGCTCTGTGATTGGCTGTGATTTAATACTAGAATAATGCGTGATGACAACAGAAGGTGTGAAAGGTGTGGACGTATCAGATTCCAAAGGCCTGCAGGAACAAACAAACAAACAAACAAACAAACTCACTTTATGGCAAACAATTTTAGCATTCAATCCAAATCTTAGTTAAAAGATAAGTTATATTTGAGGGTGCGACATTAGTTGTGTGTTTTATTTTTGAAGTGACAAGACTGCTGGCTGGACTAGTGATTTCTTGCTGTTAGTTTTATTCATAAAACTCAAGAAAATTAACATTTTTCATCATTTTGGTCGTAATGAAAAAAGTGAAGAAAAAAATATGCTGTGACATTTCTGAAACCAGTCTTTTCCATTTTGCACAATAATTCTAACCCAACACCTAATTTATTCATTCCTGTTTCATTAATGGGAAACTGTATAACACTACTTACCAGCTAGATCTAGAGAGTATGTTAAAAAATAAACCAACCTATATGAACTGGATGGCTCTGCTGTTTCTGATCTAGAGAGTACGTTTAAAAATAAACCAACCTATATGAACTGGATGGCCCTGCTGTTTCTGATCTAGAGAGTATGTTTAAAAATAAACCAACCTATATGAACTGGATAGCTCTTCTGTTTCTGATCTAGAGAGTATGTTTAAAAATAAACCAACCTATATGAACTGGATGGCTCTGCTGTTTCTGATCTAGAGAGTATGTTTAAAAATAAACCAACCTATATGAACTGGATGGCTCTGCTGTTTCTGATCTAGAGAGTATGTTTAAAAATAAACCAACCTATTTGAACTGGATGGCTCTGCTGTTTCTGATCTAGAGAGTATGTTTAAAAATAAACCAACCTATATGAACTGGATAGCTCTGCTGTTTCTGATCTAGAGAGTATGTTTAAAAATAAACCAACCTATATGAACTGGATGGCTCTGCTGTTTCTGATCTAGAGAGTATGTTTAAAAATAAACCAACCTATATGAACTGGATGGCTCTGCTGTTTCTGATCTAGAGAGTATGTTTAAAAATAAACCAACCTATTTGAACTGGATGGCTCTGCTGTTTCTGATCTAGAGAGTATGTTTAAAAATAAACCAACCTATATGAACTGGATAGCTCTTCTGTTTCTGATCTAGAGAGTATGTTTAAAAATAAACCAACCTATATGAACTGGATGGCTCTGCTGTTTCTGATCTAGAGAGTATGTTTAAAAATAAACCAACCTATATGAACTGGATAGCTCTTCTGTTTTGATCTAGAGAGTATGTTTAAAAATAAACCAACCTATATGAACTGGATGGCTCTGCTGTTTCTGATCTAGAGAGTATGTTTAAAAATAAACCAACCTATATGAACTGGATGGCTCTGCTGTTTCTGATCTAGAGAGTATGTTTAAAAATAAACCAACCTATATGAACTGGATGGCTCTGCTGTTTCTGATCTAGAGAGTATGTTTAAAAATAAACCAACCTATATGAACTGGATGGCTCTGCTGTTTCTGATCTAGAGAGTATGTTTAAAAATAAACCAACCTATATGAACTGGATGGCTCTGCTGTTTCTGATCTAGAGAGTATGTTTAAAAATAAACCAACCTATAGGAACTGGATGGCTCTGCTGTTTCTGATCTAGAGAGTATGTTTAAAAATAAACCAACCTATATGAACTGGATGGCTCTGCTGTTTCTGATCTAGAGAGTATGTTTAAAAATAAACCAACCTATATGAACTAGATGGCTCTGCTGTTTCTGATCTAGAGAGTATGTTTAAAAATAAACCAACCTATATGAACTGGATGGCTCTGCTGTTTCTGAGCTTGCATCTACATCTGGAAATAAAACAGCTGGTTTATTTTTATGAAAATAAATATAAAAACAAAAACAACTTTTATGCTAACTAACAATAAAAAGTGTATAATATAAAATAAGTGTCGTTAAATAAATATACTTATACAAGCATACACCAAGACACATGATATCCAATCCAGTATTTACTGAAGTAAAATAATGAAACTATATGAAGAAATACAACTGTGGGAAATTCTTTTTAGAAAAATTATTTTAAAAATTTGGTACATATAGATCTAATTATCATCCACAATATCATAGTAATTCATTTTAAAATTCTTAACACAGAAAAAGCAATAAAGTACATTAAAAAATTGCATGACAATCAACATCTTATAAATGAAATGATGTTATGATATTCATTGGTAATTATAACTCATATTTTGTTAACCCAGAAAATCTCAATTATTCATTACAATTATCTTAGGCTTTAAAACTCTCTATCACAAGTCTATAGATTATTTGTAATAAACAAGTTAACAGAATATAAGAAAGCTGTATAAATCTTTTAATAAAACTAAATTATAATAAACAAATGAGAAATATAAACAAAATGTTTTGCTCATAAATAAAAATGAAACAAAATGTAGGCTTTAAGCCCTAAACTAGTTGGCAACTAAAAAAAACATTTTTAACAGAATAAAGGACAAAATAAATTTTATATTATAGGTAAATTTGATTTCTTTTGTTTTTCTCAAAAAAAAAAATATAACTTTTATAAATCTAGTTTAACTATATTAAAAAAATAATTAAATAAACAATAAAAAGCACAGCACAATTTTGACATAAATCAAACATAAAGATGTGTCATAATACTAAAGATAACTCAATATTTATCACTACTTTGTGCTGTGCAGTAAACCCAAATCCAACAATAAGGCATGAAATGAAACAAACTACAAACCAAATAAAATATAAATTGTTTTGGAATGGACCTACCACTTGGGTTGTATAGCCTTGATTAAAGTAAGCATGGTACTCTGTAAAACAAGTTTTTCAACATGAAATTAGTCGGAAGGCTTACCACTTCAAACAGCCAGCAAAGAGGGTGTAGGCTACTTACACAGTACTTCTGGTACTACACAGTACTTCTGGTACTACACAGTACTTCTGGTACTACATAGTAATTCTGGTATTGACAGTACTCGTTCTGGTACTACAAAGTATTCTGAGTACTAACCTGTATTTAAAATACTACTGAATGTAGTACTGAATACTTGAGAGTTACTGGCTAAGTTAAGCTGTGATTGAGATAAAGCTTCAGTGAAGAAAATCAAACACTGGAAAATTTGTAATTCCCCTTTGTGATCCAAGTTTTAGACCAGAAAAAAAAGATATAGGCCTACCACAAAATAAACAAAGAAAAATAAAGTAGCTGATTCTGATTTCATTTGACCACTTACAGTCAAATAAAAACTTAGATCTGTTGACGCAATCCAAATACTTAGAAGCTTCAGGTAAAAATCTTTTGAAATTTAACTGAAAAATGGTTAAGTTATAGATAAACTATTTATAAATACCAGGGTTTATGAAGAAACTCTTTTTTTTACAATGCTCTGAGGCTTTTAAACTACTTTAAAGTGACAGATTTTACAATATTTTTGAAGATTCTTCTTATTCTCTGAAATCATTTTTTTTAAAAATCCATGCTTACAAGAACATAATTTATACCAACAAACAGTTGTCATAGCAACAAACAGATGGCCGTATCAAAACATGCCCCACAGACTTCTGTAATACTAAATATCCACAGGTGGTTCATGCTAAAAATAGATAACCAAAGGGAGAGCAACTCATGCCACAGTTCAATGCAATATCTAAATACAAATGTTAGTAGAGACATTCTGGTTAACCTACATAACAATAAAGTTAATCAGTCACATGATCTACAAGGTTAAAATAATTACATGCTTAAAAAGATTAGAATAAATTAAATTCTAATTGTTTTAGAATATCTGATGAAACATTTGATTCAATTTAATATTTTGTGAGACTAGTCGTGGTGTATTGTCCAACTTAATCTTGTATGGAATTATTTACATTGTGATATATGAATGTTATTTTTATTACATCTTTTTCTTATTGTTTTATCTGGACAATATTAAGACAGGCCAAAGGAGATATAACAAAAAAAATTGTCTCTTATATGAGTTGCATGTTACCTTTGTTTAAATTGGCAACAAATGAAACACGTCCAGATTAAAACTATTTTATAATCACTGTACTGCGACTACGCTTAAAATATGTGCCCAATTCTTTTGCCAATATGGCAAAAAAGAGCTAAAAAATTAGTTACAATTATAAAAGGGTTCAGAATTCTATAACTTCTATAAATATGCATATGACATGTGCTTTCAAAAATTAAAGAGTGACAGGAAATAACCATTTTAAAAAATCACAGTTAAGTTTCAAAATAATAAATTCAAAACATTTGAAAGTTTTTTTTTTAAAACTATCAATAGATTTTCATTAATGTTAGCCTGTTTTTATTTTCTATTTCTGATTATCAGCTATCTCTAAGTTATTTATAAAATAGTTTAGCTATTTAAAAGTTATCAGTTGTTTACCAACTAATCTAATTAAAAATCACACAATAAAAGATAATATAAAATGGTTAGTTCCTAAAATAAAAAAGAGATTTAGTATTTTATAATTTCTGTTAATGAAAACAATGTTTACTTATATAGTAAAATACTGTTATATTAAAAAAAATTTTTTTAGTTTTTCTCACCATAATTCAAACGCTGTTTTCTTCTATATTTCATACACTGTGTGCAAATGAAAACAGTGACGATGACAAGTGCGATGGCTCCTACAATGGTGCCTGCCACAATGGCAGCAAGGTTCTGCTTGACGTGGTTGACTTCCTGCCGCAGAAAGTAGCCGGTGATGTTAGTAACTTCTAGCGTTGTGTTAGCAGGAATGGTTACAACTGGTGTTGTTTCAACAAGGGTTAATGGCACTGCCAGGGGAGGAAGGGTTAACAAAATAATCACATTGATTCATTTCAACTACACACAAACATTCATTAAGTATTATTCACTTAGTAAAACAGGCATTTGTAGCAAAAACATTAGGGAATAAGATACAAAACAAATTTAAAATGCTCACTAGTCTAGCATTACAAAACTTAATTTGTGTCTAGTCTAGCAGTACAAAAGTTAATCTGGTCCCTAGTCTAGCAGTAAACACAAATGTTGACAGCAATTTAAACATAGAGCTTTTTTAAAGTCTTGACTACTTGAACTATATCACACTGGATTAGTACAAATTATGACAAACTTTGACACCACCTATACAAAGTTTTGACTAGACATGATAAATCTTGACATGAGCAATAAGAAATCTTGACAGGAACTACTCACAGGTTTTGACACGAGCTATGATCTCCTCCCCTGGCCCCGCCCCATTGACTGCAGCCACGCTTATGTTGTACATGACATCTGGGTCAAGGTCATAAAGTGTAACACTTGTTGAAATATTCATATCCAATCTGATAAAGCCTGGATCAAGATGTTCAAAAAAATTGTTAGTAGGTATTTGTAGACCAATCAACAATGAACGAATTGAGAAAAAAATTGTGAATCAAACCCCATCCTCACCATTGTTATGAGATGTTTTGTCCACCTTGTTGTAGACAACTAAATAACCTTTTAAAACACCTTTAGTGTCTACAGGTGGTTTAAACCACAGAGATATTCTGGTTTGATCTGGCCAATAGGAGAAGTCATGTACTGCAGTAGACTCTGTAAGTAAACAAACAATTGGGGTCAAAGTTGAAAGACCTGCAACAATACTTCTTCTTCTTCGTTCTTAATTTTTTAGTGTTGGGAGGGATCGAGCCTTATCTGCCAGAGGGTTTGAACTCGAGACTTTTTTCGAATTTATCAACCATGACTTTTGCCGACTCGACCATGCTTCCATCACAATTAAGGATTACGTGTCAACTGGTTATGCGCCATTGAGGCCATTGACTCTGATTTCAGCCTGCTTTTCTTTTTGGATTTGCTTCCGTAGCCTTTGTCCAATCAAGAACAAACTACAAGGCAGCAGTTGTTTGATTTTGGAGTTGTCTCTATTAGAAGAGTGGCTGTCCCCAGCTAACGAGCCTCATCTGCCAGAGGGTTTGAACTCGAGACTTTTGGGTTTAGCAACCATGAGCTTTACCGACTCGACCACGCCGATCCCTGCAACAATAGTGATATCAAGGTCTGTGTAGCTCAATATCTATAATTCTCTATGTCGCCCAACCATGCGGGACACCACGCATGCACGCCGACTCTCTAACCCTCCTCCTGCCCCCCCACCCTCGCTCTCCAGGCATGCGCAACAGTGTGTACCCACCCACCCCATTAGGAAAACTGTATCTTTCAGGAAGTCTTCACCTGTCACTAGATAGCGACTTTTGCTACGTGGCGGGTTGGCTTATTTAAAATAAAGGATCTGAACATAGCCTAGCTATTTTTAACATTTAGTGAACTCAATAATTTAATGTCATAGATCATCATTTCCCGTTTGTCCAATACACGAGGGAGAGATGAAGTAGAGTTCATCTGCTTCAGAGAAGCTGCGCGTATGAAAGGATAGTGTGGCCAGCACTATGTTTTCCATAACATGAGTTAGGTACCCATCAGAGTTGAGTGTATTCAGGGACATTCTACTGACTTAAACCCGGATTTGAACTCGAGACTTTCAGGTTAGCAGTCTAGTACTCTACTGCTAGATGACGCTGTTCAATATGATATCAATACAATGAAGAAAACCATTGTTCACAGGACCCATTAATTTAGACTTTTTAAGCTACATATAAAGTGATTGTCGAATAAATGAAGTATTTTAACCAAAGACGAAAGTTTAGCTTACTTCCCTCTAGGGTCCTAGCTGGCACAGGTAGGGTGTAGAGCCCTACCCCAGGTGTGACTGTGGAGGTGAAGGCTGCCACCTGACATTCATAACTGGTCCAAGGTTGGAGGGACCTGGGGAAAACATGGCTTATACTTTAGACATCAATTTTATAGGAGAAGGTGTGGCTTCTACTTTAAAGATCAATTTTTTATACATCAATTCAATAGAGGGAAAACATTAAAAAAATGAAATGAAGAGAATTTCTCACTGTATAGTAAAGTTGAGATCAGATGAAGGGGAGAGAACCTCTGACCAGACTGTGCTACCTTCTACTCTGTACTGTACTATGTAGGAGGTCACATTGCATGTTGTTAGCTCCCCTGGTATAGGCTACAATAGGGAAAAGTTTGATCTTATGTTATTTCTTCCAGCAGTATCTAATGTCACAGTTACAACAAGATAAAAACAGAAAGATCTAAACAGTGATTTAAAAGAAGGATGTGCAGAAAAAATAATTACTTTTATAAAAAGTTAGAAAAATTATAATTTTAAGCTATGTTTAATGTTTTCAAACAATGTTTACATTCCAAAGACAAAAACAGTCATTTATAAATGTATGTCTATTTACAGCAATGTGTAAAACAGACAAACACTTACAAGCTACTTACAAAAAAAATATGTGAACAGACAGACATTTACAAGCTACTTACAAAAGAAATGTGTAAACAGACAAACACTTACAAGCTACTTACAAAAGAAATGTGTAAATAGACAGCCACTTACAAGCTACTGACAGAACAAATGCGTAAAACAGACAGACACTAACAAGCTACTGACTAAAAAAAAATGTGTAAACAGACAGAGACTAGCTACTGAAAGAAAAAATGTGTCAATAGATAGCTACTTACACTCCAAGAGAGCTGAAGACTGGTGGATGAGATGGCTCTAACTTGCAGACGTCCAGGTGGTGCCACAGGGGCTGGAGAATTCAGGTCAAATGTTTATTAATAGATCAAACACAATACAGTATCAAATGATAATTTTAAAACAGACTCACTTTTGTATAGGCAGATGTGGTTTAGTGATAAAGCACTCAAGTAACAATTATAAAACATGTACATTCAATACCATCTAATTTCATTCAGGGAAATAGGTTTGACATTGTGTTGACCACACAATTTCTTCATATGCCATTATAGAATCAGATAATCTGAGCTATAAGCTCCCTTGCTCCGAATGAATGCTTTACATTTTATTAAGATACACAGCTGAGCAATCAACTGACCAATGGGCAGTGTCCACACTTGAACAACCTCTGAGAGTGGACTGGCGCCAGCAGGGTTGTCAGCGTACATGAGGACAGTGTAGAGCCTCCAGGGTTTCAGCCCACGTATGGTGTATGTCGTTGTTGCATTGCTCACACTAACGCTCGCATTGACAGCAGTTTCGTTGTTTTGGTACCTGATCCAGTAGTTGAGTATAGGACCATTCTGGGCCAGCAGTGGAACACTCTAAAATAAGAACATCAGAGGTGTCAGTTATTGTGTAGTTGTGCAAAGATTGGTCTCAGTGTAGTAGGTCTATTCCAGATTAAAAACTTATTGAAGGATGTAGCCAACATAGTTGATATTTTGAACAGAATCATGTACAGCTATCAAGTATCAATTCACTTTTCCTCTACTAAGCAAATGGAAGCAACTATCGATTGTTTGTTACACAATTTCCTATGGATGGTCTAAGTAATGGGAAGCAACTATCAATTCTTTCTTATTCCAAAGTACAACCAATGGCCTTAGCAAAGGGAAGCAACTATCAATTATTTTGTAACCAATGTCTTATGGATGGCCTTAGCAAAGGGACGCGACTATAAACTATTAGTCACCCAATACCAGACAGAGTTAACTAACCTGCCATGTGACCTGGACAGAGTAAGGATCTACAGCAACAGCTTGCAGGAACTGTGGAGCTAGTGATGGCTCTGGATAAAACAATCTCAGCTCAGTAAAGAAAATTTATTTAATTTTGATTTATTCTAAAATACCTATTGGGATGAACACATTAAACTACATCAGCAGGTATTTCACAGATGTAACCAGTCACCTAAATAACGAATATTTTTTTTCCAAAAGAATTGCATAATTAAAAAAAAAAAAATGGAATTTTATCCCATAGCACAAACACAGTGAAAAATAGTGTAAAGGGAGTATCATCATTTATGGACAACTCTATTGCTGCATTTTCCCCAAAGAATTAGATTTGATCTAATTCCTTGTGTAAACAAACCAGACTTATAACAGTTGACAGTGTACCAATTGTTCTGTAAACAAACCAGACTCACTGGATGAAGATGTAAGGAATGTAATCACTGCTGAGAAGTTCCCCCAGAGTTCTTGCCCCCTGTCAATGTTAGCAGCCCTAACTTGTGCTGTGTAGGTGGTGTAAGGCCTCAGTGGTGCCAAGAAAATTTCTTGGGTTGGAAATGTTGGACTGGATATATTTACCTCAACAAAGGCTGAAATTTTAAACAATAAAGATGTGACTTCTAATTTTGAATTTGCATATAGGCATGCTTTTCAAAAATTAACACAAATACTAGCTTTAAATTTCAAACTGCAAAATTCTTTTTAAATATATTATATTTACAAGTTATAAAACTCAAGGTTATTGAAAAAGGTATGAACAAAAATTATAGGCCTATATTTGAAAAGAAAACATATTTTATGACATACCTGAACTATAAGCATCCAAGTTGATGTATCTTAACTGGTACATCCTGACAACCCCATTTGGAGTAATGGGCTGCTCCCAGGTTAAAGATGCACTAACAGATGTAACATTTATCAACTTCAAGTTCACAGGGGTGGAAGGTGCTAAAAACACAATGTAAGAAAAACATCAAATAAAATAGTCATTGCAAATTTGAATAAAGCAGAATAATACAATAAAATTTCTAAATCTAGATAACAACAAATGTAAAGTATGCATATAAACTTTCATATAAACTAAATGATTTCAAAGGATTTTCTAATATAAAAATGAGTCTGTTGCCTTTATAGAATAGACTAGAGCATTTTTTCTACAACCAAGCACCTAAGCACAGACCTGATTGCAATGTAAGGGCTGACAAGGCATTGCTGGTGTCACTAGTGCCAATGTCATTGACAGCTGACACATAAAAAATATACAAGGTCCCAGGCTTGAGACCTGTGACCTCTGTCCTGGTCACATTTTGCAGATAGGTCACAGGGTACACAATAAGACTCTCAGCAGTTCTAGAAAGATCAGTACATGACAAAACTTTACTATGACATATTACATCATTCATATTGATAACTAATTACATGACAACTTTTTACCACTCACAGTACCAATAACCAAAATAATTACTTTAAAAGCTCTTTTAAAAACTATAAGGAATTCTACAGAGTTTTAAAAATCTTTAGATTTTAAAATGCCTATACATAATATAAAAACAATTTAGTAGAACTGGAAAATTGTATGCAATATATAAAATTTGATGTGGAATATGAATATGTAATGCAAAGTATTAAAAAAATTGATAAAGAAAATCAAAATTGGATGTATAATATAATAAACCGGGAGTGATCTCCCCTAAACTTTCTCGAATATTCTTATATAAAATAACAGGGGATGGGAACTCGGGCTATAGACATGATTTTTAATCCATTTTAAATACTTAAAGTTTTAAAAATAGAATAAAATCTCGTAGACAATTAATTGCACACCAAGTGAACGCCTTATAAAAAAGCGCATAATAGTGCGCAATATTATTAGTACTTTTAAAATTTACATTAGTTTTTTGAGAAATCGGAAGTAGCGTAAAGTACTACTTCCAGTCAACGGAAATTACTCAAAATTTAACAGAAGGTAGAGAATTAGATCTTTTACTTACATGTGAAATTTCATTTATCTATCTGAAATAGTACTCAAGTTATAGGCTTTTGAAAAATTCAAAGTAGGAAAAGTACCACTTCCGGTTATCGGAAATTGCTCAAAAGTTGATACGGATCTACGATTTTGATAAAATACTTATATATGAAATTTCATCAACCTAGCTGTAACGGTACTCAAGTTATCGTGTTTACACACGGACAGACAGACACACAGACAGACAAGATTGCAAAATTATGTTTTTCCGTATCAGTGAGGTGTAAAACGTCGAGATTTGTAAAAATCTCGATTTTTTTTTTTTCACGATTACAATACTTTCTCTATACTTCGTATATACGAGAAAGTAAAAATGTGATATAAAATATGAAAGTTTAATGTAGAATATTAAAATGTTGATGAAGAATGAAGCAAAAATATTTTGATGTACAAATCTACAAATCTTACTTCTCTCTGTAGGAGACCTGATAAAAATTGAGTTTCTGAGTAGGGTCATCATGACCTGACCACTGCCAAATCAAATACACCGACTCTGGTGACAGTGGAACAGCACTAAGTAGATATGGTGCCACAGGCAGGCCTGCAAGATATCAGGATAAGTCTAATGATAAGCCTAATGATAAGTCAGATAGTTAATTAAACAATAAGTCAAATAGTAAACATATAGATAAAAAACATTTGATACAGTCATCAGGTTAAGACTTTATATAAAAAAATGAAATCTACCAACTAAACTGGCGAACAATTCTACACAATAAACTGACAATAAAGTCTACCCATATGTGGGTAATGCTCGGTTGTCTAAAATATTACACTATTCCTTGCGGTTAGGTTACAAGTACAGTTCTTTGAATTACTAATTATATCTTCCTCTTCTTCATTCTTAATTTTAATGTTGGAAAGGATTCCCTCTAACACAGTTAAGTATACTCTCATTTCAGCCTGCTTTTCTTTTTGGATTTGCTTCCATAGCCTTGTCCAACCAAGAACAAACTACAAGGCAGCAGTTGTCTAATTTAGAGTTTTATCTCCTAGAAGAGTGGCTGTCCACAGTTAACGAGCCTCATCTGCCTGAGGGTTCGAACTTGAGACTTTTCAGTTTAGTAACCATGAGCTTTACCAACTCAACCACACTGACCCCTACTAGTTATGTGAATGTATGGGCCCAGCTAGCTGACATGTAGGTCTGGCTAGGATGTACTCACCAAACACAGAGACAACAAGATGTACTCACCAAACACAGAGACAACAAGATGTACTCACCAAACACGGAGACAACAAGATGTACTCACCAAACACGGAGACAACAAGATGTACTCACCAAACACAGAGACAACAAGATGTACTCACCAAACACACAGACAACAAGATGTACTCACCAAACACAGAGACAACAAGATGTACTCACCAAACACAGAGACAACAAGATGTACTCACCAAACACAGAGACAACAAGATGTACTCACCAAACACACAGACAACAAGATGTACTCACCAAACACAGAGACAACAAGATGTACTCACCAAACACAGAGACAACAAGATGTACTCACCAAACACAGAGACAACAAGATGTACTCACCAAACACAGAGACAACAAGATGTACTCACCAAACACACAGACAACAAGATGTACTCACCAAACACAGAGACAACAAGATGTACTCACCAAACACACAGACAACAAGATGTACTCACCAAACACAGAGACAACAAGATGTACTCACCAAACACAGAGACAACAAGATGTACTCACCAAACACAGAGACAACAAGATGTACTCACCAAACACAGAGACAACAAGATGTACTCACCAAACACACAGACAACAAGATGTACTCACCAAACACAGAGACAACAAGATGTACTCACCAAACACAGAGACAACAAGATGTACTCACCAAACACACAGACAACAAGATGTACTCACCAAACACAGAGACAACAAGATGTACTCACCAAACACAGAGACAACAAGATGTACTCACCAAACACACAGACAACAAGATGTACTCACCAAACACACAGACAACAAGATGTACTCACCAAACACACAGACAACAAGATGTACTCACCAAACACAGAGACAACAAGATGTACTCACCAAACACGGAGACAACAAGATGTACTCACCAAACACAGAGACAACAAGATGTACTCACCAAACACAGAGACAACAAGATGTACTCACCAAACACACAGACAACAAGATGTACTCACCAAACACACAGACAACAAGATGTACTCACCAAACACAGAGACAACAAGATGTACTCACCAAACACAGAGACAACAAGATGTACTCACCAAACACAGAGACAACAAGATGTACTCACCAAACACAGAGACAACAAGATGTACTCACCAAACACACAGACAACAAGATGTACTCACCAAACACAGAGACAACAAGATGTACTCACCAAACACACAGACAACAAGATGTACTCACCAAACACAGAGACAACAAGATGTACTCACCAAACACAGAGACAACAAGATGTACTCACCAAACACAGAGACAACAAGATGTACTCACCAAACACAGAGACAACAAGATGTACTCACCAAACACACAGACAACAAGATGTACTCACCAAACACAGAGACAACAAGATGTACTCACCAAACACAGAGACAACAAGATGTACTCACCAAACACACAGACAACAAGATGTACTCACCAAACACAGAGACAACAAGATGTACTCACCAAACACAGAGACAACAAGATGTACTCACCAAACACACAGACAACAAGATGTACTCACCAAACACACAGACAACAAGATGTACTCACCAAACACACAGACAACAAGATGTACTCACCAAACACAGAGACAACAAGATGTACTCACCAAACACGGAGACAACAAGATGTACTCACCAAACACAGAGACAACAAGATGTACTCACCAAACACAGAGACAACAAGATGTACTCACCAAACACACAGACAACAAGATGTACTCACCAAACACAGAGACAACAAGATGTACTCACCAAACACACAGACAACAAGATGTACTCACCAAACACAGAGACAACAAGATGTACTCACCAAACACAGAGACAACAAGATGTACTCACCAAACACACAGACAACAAGATGTACTCACCAAACACAGAGACAACAAGATGTACTCACCAAACACAGAGACAACAAGATGTACTCACCAAACACACAGACAACAAGATGTACTCACCAAACACACAGACAACAAGATGTACTCACCAAACACACAGACAACAAGATGTACTCACCAAACACAGAGACAACAAGATGTACTCACCAAACACGGAGACAACAAGATGTACTCACCAAACACAGAGACAACAAGATGTACTCACCAAACACAGAGACAACAAGATGTACTCACCAAACACACAGACAACAAGATGTACTCACCAAACACACAGACAACAAGATGTACTCACCAAACACACAGACAACAAGATGTACTCACCAAACACAGAGACAACAAGATGTACTCACCAAACACAGAGACAACAAGATGTACTCACCAAACACACAGACAACAAGATGTACTCACCAAACACAGAGACAACAAGATGTACTCACCAAACACAGAGACAACAAGATGTACTCACCAAACACACAGACAACAAGATGTACTCACCAAACACACAGACAACAAGATGTACTCACCAAACACACAGACAACAAGATGTACTCACCAAACACAGAGACAACAAGATGTACTCACCAAACACGGAGACAACAAGATGTACTCACCAAACACAGAGACAACAAGATGTACTCACCAAACACAGAGACAACAAGATGTACTCACCAAACACACAGACAACAAGATGTACTCACCAAACACAGAGACAACAAGATGTACTCACCAAACACACAGACAACAAGACGTACTCACCAAACACACAGACAACAAGATGTACTCACCAAACACAGAGACAACAAGATGTACTCACCAAACACAGAGACAACAAGATGTACTCACCAAACACAGAGACAACAAGACGTACTCACCAAACACACAGACAACAAGATGTACTCACCAAACACACAGACAACAAGATGTACTCACCAAACACAGAGACAACAAGATGTACTCACCAAACACAGAGACAACAACAGATCTGACATCTAGCCCTGAGGTAGAGTTAGCCACACACTCGTACGGACCGGAATCATTCTGGAAGACAAAGTCCACAGAGAGAACACCTGCATCAGACACCCGCACCCTCCCATCCAATGATGATGTCACAGTGTTGTTCATGCGGCGCCACTGTATAGTAGGGGAGGGAATCCCTGACGCCGAGCAAGTCAGGCTAAATTTGGTACGCAGCATGACAGGAGACAATGGGGAGATGACTTGATCTATACGTGGTGGCACTGTAAACATTATGTGACGTAATAATTATTAAAACACTGATTTAAGAACATCACTGTTCACACTGAAAAACATATTTAGTCATAGAAAAAAATATTAGCTGAAGTTACAATCACATGATTTAAAATCACATGACGCACAAGCTATGAACGTGGATAAATAAAGTAAACAACTAAAATACACTATGGATTTCACCTCATAACTAGGTTAAATTTTAAGTACTATGATTATAATTGTATTATTGTCATACATTTAAATTTTATCAGTAAAAATAAACTTTTAGACAAAGGTACTATTATGCAGAGCTAGAGAAATAAATGCTAAGGTTTGGTTTAAGACCCCCCCCCCCCCCAAGTCTATAAACTCAGTGCATAAAACTCAGTGCATAAAACAAAAGATTTAAAAAACAAAGTTAACCCTAAAATCAAACAAGCAGTGAGGAAGTTACCTAAAAGTTTGTTGTAGGCTGAGGCCCACACTGTTCCCCCCCCCCCCCCCCCCCACCTCACTGGGACCCTCACATAGTTACTTAAAGTTTGATGACGCCTAAAGCCCACGCTGTCCCCCCCCCACCCCCCCCCCCCCCCCACCTCGTGTGACCCTCACATAGTTACCTAAAAGTTTGATGAAGGCTGAAGCCCGTGCTGTCCCCACCCCACTGCGACCCTCACATGTGTAGAGCCCCACATTCTGCCAGGTCAATGACCTCACAGTCAGAGTCTGGTTCTGGTCCAGTAGGTTTGTATTGCTGGGCAGGCTCAGGCTGGCCTGTGGGGGAGTGGTCGATAATTAGATCACCTAATTAGTCACATCAATTAACAAAAAAAAACAATCTTTAATTTACTTTCAGTATAAATTTTCTATAAAGTTTAAAGTGTCATCTACTTACATTAAAATACCAAATAATGGATGGTGAAGGTTGACCTTTGATTACACAGGTCAAGGTTGCAGATGAACCAATGAGAGCAGTTGTGTTGCTGGGTGGTAGAGATACAGTGGGACGGACTGTAAAAAAAAACGGTATACAAATAAATGAAATGGAAGAATCAGAGTTATTTTGTGAGGCGGGAGGTGCAGACCGCACAGGGTAACACCTATAGGGGGTGACACCAAAAAAAAAAAAATTGCAAAATATATAGAAGAAAAATGCTTTTTGCCAGTTCAATTAATGATTAATTAAAGTTAAAAAGTCTTTTATGTGTTAAATTGACTATCCCGTCAAGGGAAGGGGGGGAGGGCATAATTATATATATATATATATATATATATATATATATATATATATATATATATATATATATATATATAGCCTATATTTTTTTATTTGGTGTGGAAGGGGGGGGGGGGGTTGATACCAAGAGGTGCTGTACCTGGTAACACCCGACCTAGCAACGCCACTGGGAACAACACAGTAAAGTGTTGCTTTAAACCCTTAGTGAACATGAATTTAAAACTAACATTAACAAAGTTTTTTTGTTGATCGCATCTCAAAAAGTTTAAAACAAGATTCAACTTAAAACTCTAGCACACAGTAAAAACAGTAAAGAAAAAGAATCAGAGAGCACCAACCATAGACAACAAGAGTGCCAGTGGATGAGGCGGTGCCCGCATCATTTGACCCAACACACGTGTAGTTCCCTGCGTGTTGATAGGTGACCGATTCTACACGCAGGTTTGGGGGATTGAAGGACCATCTTATACTGGACAAATTGGCGACTGAATTTTGTACAGTCAAGTTCACTCCATCTAGGAAAATTAACATTAATCTATTAAAGACTTTAAGGTTTTAGTAAACTAATTAAAAATAATTAGTATGTTTATTAAACCTACTTAATGGATGAAAATCAATGGATGAAACTCAATGGATGAAATTTAACAGATGTAACTTAATGTATAGAACTTGATGGGTAAAACAATGGATAAAACCTAATAGTTAAAACTTTGTGGATGAAATGTAATGGTTAAAATTATCAATATTTATCAAGGATAGTGTTAGCTTAGCTAAGCTACAAATGGACCTGCTTTCTTCTTGATATTTGTTCCTTATTGTAATGTCAACAGGATTTCCTCCAACACATTTAAGCATTATTTTGTACTGGGGCATATGGCATATGGCAAGTTGATTCCGGAACTGCTTTAAACCTAGATGTAAACAAACTTTTTCCCTAAGCCAGTGGTTCCCAACCTTTTTTGAGTGGCGACCCCCTTTTATAAAAATTAAGTGACCCGCGAACCCCATAGAATTAAAAAGCCGAAATTAGTATGGAAATCAATAAGCACTAAAATAAGATTTTCTAGTAGACTTTCAATATGAACTACTCTTGATAACTGATTTAATAGCATGAGTAAAATTGCATACTATTCACTAAACCTTCGTGGTTAAGTTTTTAATTTTTTTAAAAATTTGTTAACGCCAACCTATGTCATTATAATTATCTTAATTTTGTTTTTAATCGAAAAATAGTGTTGAAAATATATTCTCGAAAAGTCAATCAATTTTACGTTTGGTTATGAATGGTGAATACTACACCAAAATTGTGTCTGCAGTTTTTCATCTTACACGGAATCATTCTGCAAATCAAAGAATTCATCTTGTAATTCATCGGGAATGCTGGCAACATCAAGGGAAGAAGAGAATGGGTAATGCGTAAATGCAGATTCTTCTTTTTTTTTAGCTCAGAGAAATAGCGATGCAGTTCCTTTTCAAGAGATTCAAGATGCACAGAAATTGCTTCTTTCAAAATTTTAACTATCTCACAATCAGATTCATCTACCACACCGCAGAGTTTCTCAAATTTACAATATTTCCAAGATTTATTTTCTTTACCGATTTTGCAGCTTTGATAAAAATGCCCCGAGATTATCATGGAAAGTTACAATATTCGTTCATTTTCCCTGAAGCTTCAGGTTATGCTTATCTTGATGTTCGAACATATCTGCTAGGTTTGATACTCTCTCAAACCACTCTATGTCGTTTTTAAGTATACCAAAAAGTCTTGTTTCCTTTGCACTCCCAAGAACAATTTGATTTCAGATTTCAATTCAAAAACACAATTTACAACATTTCGTTTGACAGCCAGCGTACTGTAGTGTAGAAGAGCAGAACCTCGTGATCTATATTAATGTTTTTGCTCAGTTCTTAGAAGGCTCCAGATTTTATATAATTTACATCTTATACTAGCAATGGCCTCTTGATGTCGATTGGTTAGGGCAGTGGTTAGGGAGCTAAATCTTTTCTGTTTTCTGAAAGCCCGATTTTGAGCTAAACATAGATGGCGCACCATCAGTACAAACCCCCACAGCCGTTCTAACCCAATTTAATCATCCAGTTTCAAAAAAGATATTTATTTTCTCCATGCTATCTTCACAAAAGAGCAACTCTTCTTTGCTATCATCCGCATGAATATAGACACAGACCAGCAACTGCGAACACGAACTCACGTCTGTTGATTTATCATCTTGAAAAGCAAACAATGGTGAAAGCTTAATTTCAATAAAAAATGTGTTATTTAACATTTACGTACATGCAGCGTTTGATGAGATTTTCTCCTATTGTTTTTTTTTTTTTTTGCTTGACATTTTCTATCGCGACTTCATGTGAAACTTGCACTAATGCTGGTGAAAACTTCCTGTTTGATCAAGTCTCTGACGTTTGCAACTAGCTTCTTACCAACGAAAGAACTCCATATATTTTTTGGTGTGTTCCGAATGACTCGTCTCAAATGGCGTTTTAGTTTTGAAGATTTCATAGATTCGTGACTGAGAACAACTTTGTACAGTGCGCTTTGTTTCTTCTCTATTACATTTCCAGTGATGTTAATGAAGCCGAATTTCAAAAATTCTTCTAAATATTTATGTTTTGTTTCAAATTACTAAGGTTTTGTATACCAGTTGGCGACCCCCGAGAAAGACCTTCGCGACCCCCAGGTTGGGAACCCGTGCCCTAAGCCCAGCCATTTTTGCTGGGGTACTCAAACCATTTTGCCAACAAAAAAGACAGAAATGAACTTACTAAAGATCCACTGTATAGCTGGCATGGGATCACTGACCACATTACAGGGTAGGGTCACAGCATCACCCTCTGTTACCACAAAATTCCCCACAGCTTGTAGTGATGAAGGGGGCACTGTAACAACAGACAGGCTCCATCAGTGGGTTTATTTTTTTTTTTTATTGTAACATAATTATTCAGACAAGGTGGCCAAAAAACTCAGGTAATTACAGAAGTTTCAAACATTGTGTATCACTTGTATAGTTTAATCAAATTTTAATTTTAATTAACTTAATTAACAAAAAGTGTAAAAAAAATAAGCTATTTGTCTCAGTTAAGAACACTTCAAATCTAAAGAATTGGTGACACATATGTGACAGCTATAGACAAGACATACCCTGACCAAATACCTGACCTGCCACTACAACTGACCTAAGACTGACACCTGACCTGCCAACTGACCTAAGACTGACTCCTGACCTGCCAACTGACCTAAGACTGACACCTGACCTGCCACTACAACTGACCTAAGACTGACACCTGACCTGCCACTACAACTGACCTAAGACTGACACCTGACCTGCCAACTGACCTAAGACTGACACCTGACCTGCCACTACAACTGACCTAAGACTGACACATGACCTGCCAACTGACCTAAGACTGACACCTGACCTGCCAACTGACCTAAGACTGACACCTGACCTGCCAACTGACCTAAGACTGACACCTGACCTGACACTACAACTGACCTAAGACTGACACCTGACCTGCCAACTGACCTAAGACTGACACCTGACCTGCCAACTGACCTAAGACTGACACCTGACCTGCCAACTGACCTAAGACTGACACCTGACCTGCCAACTGACCTAAGACTGACACCTGACCTGACCTGCCAACTGACCTAAGACTGACACCTGACCTGCCACTACAACTGACCTAAGACTGACCTGCCACTACAACTGACCTAAGACTGACACCTGACCTGCCACTACAACTGACCTAAGACTGACACCTGACCTGCCAATTGACCTAAGACTGACACCTGACCTGCCACTACAACTGACATAAGACTGACACCTGACCTGCCAACTGACCTAAGACTGACACCTGACCTGACAACTGACCTAAGACTGACACCTGACCTGCCAACTGATCTAAGACTGACACCTGACCTGCCAACTGATCTAAGACTGACACCTGACCTGCCAACTGACCTAAGACTGACACCTGACCTGCCAACTGACCTAAGACTGACACCTGACCTGCCACTACAACTGACCTAAGACTGACACCTGACCTGCCACTACAACTGACCTAAGACTGACACCTGACCTGCCAACTGACCTAAGACTGACACCTGACCTGCCACTACAACTGACCTAGAACTGACCTGCCACTACAACTGACCTAAGACTGACACCTGACCTGCCACTACAACTGACCTAAGACTCACACCTGACCTGCCAACTGACCTAAGAATGACACCTGACCTGCCACTACAACTGACCTAAGACTGACACCTGACCTGCCACTACAACTGACCTAAGACTGACACCTGACCTGCCAACTGACCTAGGACTGACAACTGACCTGACACTACAACTGACCTAAGACTGACACCTGACCTGCCAACTGACCTAAGACTGACACCTGACCTGCCAACTGACCTAAGACTGACACCTGACCTGCCAACTGATCTAAGACTGACACCTGACCTGCCAACTGATCTAAGACTGACACCTGACCTGCCAACTGACCTAAGACTGACACCTGACCTGCCAACTGACCTAAGACTGACACCTGACCTGCCACTACAACTGACCTAAGACTGACACCTGACCTGCCACTACAACTGACCTAAGACTGACACCTGACCTGCCAACTGACCTAAGACTGACACCTGACCTGCCACTACAACTGACCTAGAACTGACCTGCCACTACAACTGACCTAAGACTGACACCTGACCTGCCACTACAACTGACCTAAGACTCACACCTGACCTGCCAACTGACCTAAGAATGACACCTGACCTGCCACTACAACTGACCTAAGACTGACACCTGACCTGCCACTACAACTGACCTAAGACTGACACCTGACCTGCCAACTGACCTAGGACTGACAACTGACCTGACACTACAACTGACCTAAGACTGACACCTGACCTGCCAACTGACCTAAGACTGACACCTGACCTGCCAACTGACCTAAGACTGACACCTGACCTGCCAACTGACCTAAGACTGACACCTGACCTGCCAACTGACCTAAGACTGACATCTAACCTGCCACTACAACTGACCTAAGACTGACACCTGACCTGCCACTACAATTGACCTAAGACTGACCTGCCACTACAACTGACCTAAGACTGACACCTGACCTGCCACTACAACTGACCTAAGACTGACACCTGACCTGCCACTACAACTTACCTAAGACTGACACCTGACCTGCCAACTGACCTAAGACTGACACCTGACCTGACACTACAACTGACCTAAGACTGACACCTGACCTGCCAACTGACCTAAGACTGACACCTGACCTGCCAACTGACCTAAGACTGACCTGCCACTACAACTGACCTAAGACTGACACCTGACCTGCCACTACAATTGACCTAAGACTGACCTGCCACTACAACTGACCTAAGACTGACACCTGACCTGCCACTACAACTGACCTAAGACTGACACCTGACCTGCCACTACAACTGACCTAAGACTGACACCTGACCTGCCAACTGACCTAAGACTGACACCTGACCTGCCAACTGACCTAAGACTGACCTGCCACTACAACTGACCTAAGACTGACACCTGACCTGCCACTACAACTGACCTATGACTGACACCTGACCTGCCAACTGACCTAAGACTGACCTGCCACTACAACTGACCTAAGACTGACACCTGACCTGCCACTACCACTGACCTAAGACTGACACCTGACCTGCCAACTGACCTAAGACTGACACCTGACCTGCCACTACAACTGACCTAAGACTGACACCTGACCTGCCAACTGACCTAAGACTGACACCTGACCTGCCACTACAACTGACCTAGAACTGACCTGCCACTACAACTGACCTAAGACTGACACCTGACCTGCCAACTGACCTAAGACTGACACCTGACCTGCCACTACAACTGACCTAAGACTGTCACCTGACCTGCCACTACAACTGACCTAAGACTCACACCTGACCTGCCAACTGACCTAAGAATGACACCTGACCTGCCACTACAACTGACCTAAGACTGACACCTGACCTGCCACTACAACTGACCTAAGACTGACACCTGACCTGCCAACTGACCTAAGACTGACACCTGACCTGACACTACAACTGACCTAAGACTGACACCTGACCTGCCAACTGACCTAAGACTGACACCTGACCTGCCAACTGACCTAAGACTGACATCTGACCTGCCACTACAACTGACCTAAGACTGACACCTGACCTGCCACTACAATTGACCTAAGACTGACCTGCCACTACAACTGACCTAAGACTGACACCTGACCTGCCACTACAACTGACCTAAGACTGACACCTGACCTGCCACTACAACTTACCTAAGACTGACACCTGACCTGCCAACTGACCTAAGACTGACACCTGACCTGACACTACAACTGACCTAAGACTGACACCTGACCTGCCAACTGACCTAAGACTGACACCTGACCTGCCAACTGACCTAAGACTGACACCTGACCTGCCAACTGACCTAAGACTGACACCTGACCTGCCACTACAACTGACCTAAGACTGACCTGCCACTACAACTGACCTAAGACTGACACCTGACCTGCCAACTGACCTAAGACTGACACCTGACCTGCCAACTGACCTAAGACTGACCTGCCACTACAACTGACCTAAGACTGACACCTGACCTGCCACTACAACTGACCTATGACTGACACCTGACCTGCCAACTGACCTAAGACTGACCTGCCACTACAACTGACCTAAGACTGACACCTGACCTGCCACTACCACTGACCTAAGACTGACACCTGACCTGCCAACTGACCTAAGACTGACACCTGACCTGCCACTACAACTGACCTAAGACTGACACCTGACCTGCCAACTGACCTAAGACTGACACCTGACCTGCCAACTGACCTGCAACTGTGACAAAGGAGCCTGCTGAAATACTGCCATACTTGTTGCTGGTCACACAAGTGAACTGACCCTCCCACTCCTTGCCCACCTCAGCTATCAGCAGCTCTTGGTCCTGGTTACTGCAAGCAGAGATGTCAACACACACTCAGCACAATATGACACACACTCAGCACAATATGACACACACTCAGCACAATATGACACACACTGCACAATATGACACAAACACCGCACAATATGACACACACCACCCTCTTAACATCCACATTATTAACCTCAAACATTATTCCCTTTTAACACTCCATCATGCACACAAATACCCCTACATCCACAGATTTCAATATCTTGATCTAAAACGACATAGATGAACAGATGGAAAATTCCACCAGAACAAATAGAAGGGTAGGCTACTCACACAATAGCAATCCTGTTAGACGGAGTTATGTTTCTTCCTTGAAACAACCAAAAAGTTGTGGGAGGGGGTTTAGCCTCGACAAAACAAGATAGGTGCAAAAAGTTTCCCTTCACAACTTTAGTGTTGATGGGAGGGGTGGTGATCAGTGGGGGACCTGGGATCAAATATTTAAATAAAAACTAAAGAACTCCACATGGAGGAAGAATAATTACTTCTACTAAGTCAAACTAAGAAATACCTTCCTTCCCATTGGTTGTAACTAACAACAATACCAGCAGCCATCTTACCCTCTACAGTCAGTGTGGCCAAATGAGAATTTCTGCTGTCAGGGAATGTCATACTGTTGTAAGCCAAGCAGTAAAAAACTCCAGCATCACTGAAACTAGCAGACGGCTTATAAAGGTTGTAGCCTTGAACTTGAAATCCACCAGCTGTAAGATTGACAGCGCTGAAGTTCTTGTACCATGTGACTGAAGCAGCTGGGATGCTGTGGGGTGGGTCACAGTACAGGGTAAAAGCCTCTCCATACATGACCAGGGTATTAGTTGGGTGGACAGCAAAGTCAATGTCCAGCACTAAAAACATGGAACAATTATGGAATAACAGGGAACAAGTTGAATTATATACATATATATATACATATATTTAAGTATATATATATATATATATATATATATATATATATATATATATATATATATATATATATATATATATATATACTTATATTAGCAATTTTGTACATTTGTGATGATTTTTTTTCAATGGGGTTCTCTGATACAACTATGTAGTTCCCACAGTAGCTGGTTGTCCATAACTTACTATTAAGCACATCATTTCTTTAAAGTGTTATTAGTTAAGTGTTAAGGTTAGGCTAGGCTATTTGGCTTATTTCCTATATGGAACAGCAAGTGGATAAGATCTAAATTAAGTATTACATGTCTAACAATGTACATCCAGGACCATGTACCTGGAAGTAACCAGTTGAATTGAATAGGAAATGATTCAGCTAGTTATAGATGATTAAAAGTATAAATTTAAAACAAGTTTTAAAAAAAAACAAGCCTATATTCAGAAGAAATTATGTTTAAGCTCAGCTTAAAAAACTTACTGAATCGTTAAAAAGTGACAAAGTAAGAATGAAGACAACAAACCCGCAGTGACTAGCGTGACCGTGGGGGAGAAAATTTCCCCGACTGAGTTCACGGCTCCACAGGAATAATTCCCACTGTAGACAGGCTGGTATGGGAAAAATCCAAGGCTGTGGTTGGCTAAAACGTAAACCTGTTGGTTCTCGTTAACTGTATCATCGTTAAAATACCACGTAATGACCGGACGCTCTGTTGTGTCCAGACAGCTACATGAGAGAACCAGGTCCTGGTTTTCTGGAACTATCAGCTGGTCATCAAGGTTCCATTCTATCACAGGAAGCTGGCGGCTGGCTGAGACTAGAGGACACAAGACAATCTTTTTAATGATGCAACAATATGGATAGAACACATCTTATAATAAATAGGTATATTTTTAAAATAAGTAAAGAATCCTTTTTAGACCTAGAGATCCATTGGGTACCTTTACTTTCCCTCACATGAGTTAGGTACCCATCAGAGTTGGGTGGGCTCAGGGACGTTCTACATATTCAAACTCAAGACTTTCGGGTTATTAGCCTAACACACTACCGCTTAGGCCACGCATTCTTATAGATATATAATTATTACACTTTTATTTTTAAAGTTTTTATTCACACATTCTTCTTCTTCTTCTTTGTTCTTAATTATTAGTGTTGAAGGGGATAGAGATTTATCTGCCAGTGGGTTTGAACTCGAGACTGTTCGAATGTATCAACCATGAGCTTTTTGCCGACTCGACCACGCCTCCAACACAATTAAGCGTTACGTGTCAACTGGCTATGCGCCATTGAGGCCATTGACTCCGATTTCAGCCTGCTTTTCTTTTTGACCAACCAAGAACAAACTACAAGGCAGCAGTTGTTTAATTTTGGAGTTGTCTCTCCTAGAAGAGTGGCTGTCCCCAGCTAACGAGCCTCATCTGCCCGAGGGTTCGAACTCGAGACTTTTTCGGTTTAGCAACCATGAGCTTTACCGACTCGACCACGCCGACCCCATTCACACATTCAAAACAAGAATAATTTTAAGCACACTGACAGAGCAGATTTCCAGGGAAAATTTGATGAGGGGAAAAATTAAAGTCAACTACAAGAATTAAACTTTTAATTGACTTTGTTTCTCAATTAATAATTTGTCTCTCTTAAAATCATGTAACATTATAAATAACGGAATGGATATTTATGAAAATCGTAAGATCAATATTGTGTTCCAATCCATGAATAAAAACTATAAATAAAGGTGTAGGTCTACACCAGGGGTCTTCAAACTACGGCCCGCGGGCCGCATCCGGCCCGCGAGGTCCTCTTATCCGGCCCGCGGAGATCTTTTAGTCCACGGAAAAAAACGTTTGTTGGTGATGGCTGAGAAACTTTGCCCAGAAAAATCAAAGACATACGTGGAATTAACTGGCCCCCGAACTGAAATTTGATAGTTAATGCGGCCCTCAGACTGAAAAGTTTGGAGACCCCTGGTCTACACCATAGGAGCTTTGCTCCCAAATGGGTGTAATAGCACCAAACACATAAAATATCTTACAGAATAAATACACCAAACATCTGACATGCACCTCATCATTAGCTCAACGCTGCATGAATATGTACTCACATTTATAGGACACATTGGCTGGACTACTGTACACCTCTGTATCCAGCTCATCATTAGCAGCGACACACTGGTACACCCCAAACAAACTGAACGCCATGGGGGGCAGACTGAGCTTCATGGACAGCTGGACACTGAGACCTGTCACGTCCAGACCACCAAAGCTGGCTGTCATCTGGCTGCCCACAGTCACCACTTGACCATTGAAGAGCCACCTCACCTAAAATATTAACAGTTAAAAAAAATAAAACCTTATCAATTGTTCTGTTAAAAGTTTAGCATCTCCAAGATTTCTTACAGTATGTACTAAAATACAACCTGTTTTTAAAATATTTTTTTTAAAGAATTCAGAAATACAAATTATTAATAAAAATTTAAAAAAAAACCTTCCGATCCAATATTATTTTTGTTACCTTCAGTGATGGAGAGCTCTTTCCTGTGACACATGTTATGACAACCTTTTCACCAATCATTGCCTCAATGGATCTTGGATGGATGAAAAATTCTTGGATATCTTTAAAAAAAAAATACAGAAAATTCCACACCCTTTTAAAAAATAAATATTTAATACAGCAACATATCAAAATTCATACACTAAAATGTGATAACAAATACTGAGCACAGCAGTTTAAAATTTAAACCAACTGAAGCTGAATAAAAGAAGAAGCCCAAAACCGCGTCTGCTGGAAAAGTGCAGCCCTCTACTCCCCAGGGGCTACAAAAACAAATGATGATGAATGATGATGAATGATGATGATGAATGATGATGAATGATGATGAAGCTGAATAAAAACCTACAAGCTTGTGCAACAATAGCTGTGGCAGCCAGAGATTCCACTACAGCCCCAAGACTTCCATTCACTCCCTGCCTTGTGCTAGTCACTGTACAGGAATAGTTGCCCAGCTCTGGCGCTGAAACCGCAGGAATGTACAGAGAGTTGTTGAAAAATCTGGACACTCTGCTGGGCAGGAGGCCTCCATTGAACTGCCAGTTGTAGCTTAGAGTCAGGGGAGGAGAACTCTGATTGACAGACCTAGCTTGACATGGCAACACAACATTGCGACCTAGTGATGTTGATCTGTTCACTGGCTGGTCAACCCATACTGTAAACAATATCATATGTTTGATCATATTTAATTTTGTTTTGTTTCTTTTCTCTATTAATAGATCAAATCACAAAATAATAATCGACACAAAGTTTTGACCACTACAGCAAATTGGATGTATTTATTTATAAATAGACAAATAATTTACAAGTTAAATAGATTAAAATAATTATAGAAAGATAAGGGACGTAATACATGTAAAATAAATAAATTTAAGGGTAATATTTAAAAAATTAAAGATCACAATGTAAGCTTAGATTTTCATTTTCTATCAAGCCTATTATTTTAACATTTTTTACTGCAGGTAGTGTGTAAATAACAAACGTATACTGCTGGGAAGATATTTTCTAATGTGCAAGGAATTTTTTTCTCCATCTCAGGTTTTCTATTCTATTGAGGATTAGCATTATCATAATCAGCTTAGCTTTCCGCTGCATCTTAATACAGCTGATCCATCTTCTTACTGTCTGCAACACTGAGGTCTTAGTCTGTCTTAGCCCCACCCCCTCAGCCCCACCCTCCCCACACTGTATGACATCAGCATTAGCTGTGCAATGTGTCTGCTGTTAACAGCTCTGTTGTACTGATCCAAACCTAAACTTGTGGCTGGTAACACAATGGGGGGAGGGATATAGTATAAATAGGGTTGTAGTCAAAATTGGGGTTCAGGAATGTTGAACTATGGGGAAAGTTGTACAATAGGGAATGTTGTACCATATGGGATGTTGTACAACAGGGGGATGTACTCATGTACCAGAATATAAGATGTAAAAAAAAACAACTCACCTAGCAGTGCATGACAGGAGCTGAGACAAACCAGAACCCACACGAGTCTGGTGTACAAGATGTCACTGTGACATGGCATGGCGACCTCATGTCTTGTCATCCACTGTCATCTTAGGCACACAAATGTGTCTGTAGGTAGAACTAAATGTCAGGTGTGTCTGTAGGTAGAACTAAATGTCAGGTGTGTCTGTAGGTAGAGCTAAATGTCAGGTGTGTCTGTAGGTAGAGCTAAATGTCAGGTGGGTCTGTAGGTAGAACTAATTGTCAGGTGTGTCTGTAGGTAGTGCTAAATGTCAGGTGGGTCTGTAGGTAGAACTAAATGTCAGGTGTGTCTGTAGGTAGTGCTAAATGTCAGGTGTGTCTGTAGGTAGAGCTAAATGTCAGGTGTGTCTGTAGGTAGAACTAAATGTCAGGTGGGTCTGTAGGTAGAACTAAATGTCAGGTGTGTCTGTAGGTAGAACTAAATGTCAGGTGTGTCTGTAGGTAGAACTAAATGTCAGGTGTGTCTGTAGTTAAAACTAAATGTCAGGTGTGTCTGTAGTTAGAACTAAATGTCAGGTGTGTCTGTAGTTAGAACTATATGTCAGGACTTAATTAATTGACTTTTAAAATTTAATGATTTTCTTATGTACATGGACAAAGTGTTAAAAACAGGATAATTAGGGACAACAGCAATCATTTTGGTCAGCGGCCCAAAGTCAAGTGACATCTTAGCCGTGACTCGCGTGACGCCTTAACCGTGACTCCCGTGACGCTAAACATTTGTGTCAACAAGGCCGATACATAGATGTAAGTATATTGTTCTCTGATCAGGCCGGCAATAGTCTCCGTGAGAGTAGTGACATTAATGCAGCAGTCATGCACGATTCTATAAGACGATAAAGTACACTAGTCTATAAGTGTAGCAATCATACACAGACATTATTCTCCGGGAGGGCACTTGAAATTTTCGTGGGCTGCGGTAGATTTTCTTCGGGGGGGGGGGGGGGGCGGACACTGTTAAAAGTATATATATTTTCTATATAAATTATATACATTTCATTTCGTTCGGGGGGGGGGCGGTAGAGATGCCTGGAAGAAACTCTGATCATGCACGATTCTAGCAGACGATAGGCTTACACTAGTCTATAAGTGTAGCAATCATGTACGGTTCTAGCAGACGATACCCACTTCTGTAGAGGGATCGATACCCAAACAGCACTAGACTAAAATGTCCCAGTCATTCCGTACACTCAATAAAAAGGGAGGTTAGCATGGTTGTTTATGTAAGAACGTGGTTTACGGTCAAGGACGTGTGGTCAGATGGACAGCACGCCTTTTTGTAAGCATGTGGTTTGGACAATCTGAAGGTGTGGGTTCGAATCCCGACACCCCCCCCTCCCCACCCTCACGCAATCAGCTGTCTACAACTTGCAGATGTAGGTTCGAATCAGCTGTCTACATTGTAAAACTTTAAATAACCTTCACTTAAAGATATCCGACTGAGACAATGTAAACGAATGTATCCCGTACACAGTCAACAACTAGGGACAGATCTAATAGTAGCATGTACAAGTCGCCTAGTTCTCTACCACATACTATAATGCAACAGAGTGATAAAACTTGCTATAAATGTGTCAGATAAATATATATTAGTTCACGTTGTTACAATTAAAGTATAATATATATTTATATCACACAGACATACATTTCATAGAAATAGACCACATCTATATTTGTTACAGATCTTTGATATGTTTCATATGTGTAAGTATGTTGTGTTTCGCTTTACTTAAAGAATAAAAGAATAACTTATAAACAAAGTTAGACTTGACAAAAGTTTAGTCTAAATATTTTTTGAAAACTACAAAATTGCTAAAAAAAAGTTTAAAAAAAAAACAAAAAAAAAAAATTAAAATTGAAAGAAACTTTAATTTAATCTTCCAATCAAGCAGAAAAATAAATCCCAATGAAAATAGATAAGTATAGCAAGTAGACTGAAGTATAAACCAAATAAAAACCGACCTGTATATCAAATGTATAGCAGTACTAAACAACAATCCAACTGTGATATCCGTCTTAGCTGTCCCACAAACTCCCACAACTGAACGCTTCGTCAGCCAGCTTAAGGAGCATCCCCACCCCCGGGCCAACCCTCCCCTCCCCCAGGTGTTCGCGTGTTTGTCGCGGGCGTGAGTCAGCCGTGAACATGCCGTATTGATTGCTGGCTCACCGTCTGGAATTCTACCTGGAAGTTCCACTTGGTCATACCTTGTATTTCACCTGTCTCTCACCACTTGGTCATACCTTGTGTTTCACCTGTCTCTCACCACTTGGTCATACCTTGTATTTCACCTGTCTCTCACGTCAATTCAACGGTATTCTACGTTGGTTACATACAGTTACATATCTTCAACAAACACATAACATATACCCAATCACCCATACACCAAGTCAGTTGATGACCACGTGTTATGGTCACTAATGAGTTCATTATCTTGGGTGATTAGAATCGTCCATTAATTGGCGCCAATTAATTAGAGGATTCATTAATAACAACAAATACTTTCAAAACGTTTCAATTCACTACTGTTTTGTCTTTTACTCATTCTAAGTTTTGTATTCACTGTCAATCTCAAATTATATATCAATATATCAATGATTACCTGACTCTACCGACCACCTGACTCAACTGACCACCTGACTCTACTGACCACCTGACTCTACTGACCAACTGACTCTACTGACCACCTGACTCTACCGACCACCAGACTCTACCGACCACCAGACTCTACTGACCACCTGACTCTACTGACCACCAGACTCTACCGACCACCTGACTCTACCGACCACCTGACTCTACCGACCACCTGACTCTACTGACCACCTGACTCTACCGACCACCAGACTCTACTGACCACTTGACTATACTGACCACCTGACTCTACTGACCACCTGACTCTACTGACCACCTGACTCTACTGACCGCATGACTCTACTGACCACCTGACTCTACTGACCACCTGACTCAACTGACCACCTGACTCTACTGACCACCTGACTCAACTGACCACCTGACTCTACTGACCACCTGACTCAACTGACCACCAGACTCTACCGACCACCTGACTCTACTGACCACCTGACTCTACTGACCACCTGACTCTACTGACCACCTGACTCTACTGACCACCAGACTCTACCGACCACCTGACTCTACTGACCACCTGACTCTACTGACCACCTGACTCTACCGACCACCTGACTCTACCCATCCCTTACTTTGCGCTAAGATTGAGGAACTAGGTGATGTCAAATCAATTTTTTGAACAGTATTTCTCTAGCAGTCTTGAATAATTAAAAAGAAGGTAGCGCTTTGTATGAGGTCATTGATTCAATATCAAAGTCTGGTTCCGTGGGCATGGTTCAAATACCTTCTAATGTTCAACTACCTTCTAATGTTCAACTACCTTCTAATGTTCAAATACCTTCTAATGTTCAAATACCTTCTAATGTTCAAATACCTTCTAATGTTCAAATAACTTCTAATGTTCAAATACCTTCTAATGTTCAAATACCTTCTAATGTTCAAATATCTTCTAATGTTCAAATACCTTCTTATGTTCAAATATCTTCTAATGTTCAAATACCTTCTAATGTTAAAATACCTTTTAAAGTTCAAATATCTTCTAATGTTCAAATACCTTCTAATGTTCAAATACCTTCTAATGTTCAAATACCTTCTAATGTTCAACTACCTTCTAATGTTCGAATACCTTCTAATGTTCAACTACCTTCTAAAGTTCAACTACCTTGTTATGTTCAACTATCTTCTAAAGTTCAACTACCTTCTAATGTTCAACTACCTTCTAAAGTTCAAATACCTTCTAATGTTCGAATACCTTCTAATGTTCAAACACCTTCCAATGTTCAACAACAATGAGCCAGAAATAGATCAATAAATAAAAAACACAATAATCTCATTGTGAAATGCTAGTTTTGTTATGATAAAAGAGCCCCGACCCCCCCCCCCCCCCCCCCCCCCCATATTTCATTAAAGTTCTATCACGCGAGCCCGTGCATAATTCAGACCAGGGCGTACGGCATCGATTGGTGAGTGCTCACCCAGACAGAACGTCAACTTATTGACGTCTACCTGCCGCAGGTTACATGTTACATGTCTACCTGCCGCAGGTTACATGTTACATGTCTACCTGCCGCAGTTTACATGTTACATGTCTACCTGTCGTAGTTTTCATGTTACATGTCTACCTGCCGCAGGTTCATGTTACATGTCTACCTGCCGCAGGGTTCATGTTACATGTCTACCTGCCGCAGGTTACATGTCTACCTGCTGCAGGTTCATGTTACATGTCTACCTGCCGCAGGTTCATGTTACATGTCTACCTGCCGCAGGTTCATGTTACATGTCTACCTGCCGCAGGTTACATGTTACATGTCTACCTGTCGCAGGTTACATGTTACATGACTACCTGTCGTAGTTTTCATGTTACATGTCTCCTGTCGCAGGTTCATGTTACATGTCTACCTGTCTCAGGTTCATGTTACATGTCTACCTGCCGCAGGTTCATGCTACATGTCTACCTGTCGCAGGTTCATGTTACATGTCTACCTGCCGCAGGTTCATGTTACATGTCTACCTGTCGCAGGTTACATGTTACATGTCTACCTGTCGCAGGTTACATGTTACATGTCTACCTGTCGCAGGTTACATGTCTACCTGTCGCAGATTACATGTCTACCTGCCACAGGGTTCATGTTACATATCTTCCTGCAGCAAGTTTCGTGTTACACGTCTACCTGTCGTAGGTTTCATGTTACATGTCTACCTGTCGCAGGTTTCATGCTAGACTACATTTTGTAGCCTTCTATGTGCTGTAAACATTCCATTTCCGAATTATTTGTATTTTATTGTGATTTAGTTTCTAGTCTAATAAAAACAGCCCCAATAATAATACATTCATGTTAAGAATAATTAAATTGATTAATTTTTTTAAATAATAAAAAACATTTTTTTATTTCTTAACATAAAACAACAAAAGAAAAACATTTTTATTTCTTAATCTAAAACAATGATAAAAAACATGTTTATTTCTTAACACAATGATAAAAATCGGTTTGTTAGAGAT